TACCACTCTCTCTGAGAATCACAAGTCAGATTCCTCTGATAAATAGATAGTAGTTCATGTGGAGCAGATATAAAAATAGCAAACATCTTCGTGTGTGCCTACTTATAGGTAGAAATTTACCAATAAAATTTCAAAATGGTTGACAGGTTTACTTTAAAGTGCTGTTATGTTTTTATCCAATCCGTTGATTATGCTAAATGTTGAAAACTCTGCTGAGATTGTGAAAAAATAAAAACAATTGTTCACACACTGCTCAAAGTTCCAGGAGCAAAAGGAATTCCAGGAGCAAAAAGCATATTAATTTGTATAAGAAATAAAAAAAAATAGAATAGATAAGTGAAAAATTGTGTACCCGTAAATTTTGGCTTTAGGCTGCTCATAGCATCCTAGTCTGGAGTTCTCCTTTACAGTATGGGTATCCTAGTATTTGAGTGCCATAATAATTTTACAACTTTGTGTCACCAAAAGCCCTTGTAGTACAAAGGTTTCCTCTGTAGATAGCCCTAAAATGCCCCCCCTAGACAATGAATGTGCCCTTACAGGGGGAGATACAGGGGTGAACAGGAGTGTGCGAAGTTCTTTATGACCCCTTCAAGAATGAAAATAAATTAAAATTCTCTTAGATACAACCATTAGTGCTTGCGAGACCAGATATGTGCTGCCCCCTCTCCATCCACAGTACATTCTGTGCATGCAGAGCCACCCAGTTACAGCAGAGCCACCCACGGCAGTGCAATTGGAGTGAGGTGTAACCCATGACAGAGTTCAGTCTCCTCTGGTGTCGCCCTCTGAGGAAGGGGAATCATACCCCAGGCAGCGTGGTAAATATGTGCAGTACACGGCAGTTGTCTGAGTCAAAGGAGGGCAGTTTGTTGTTTGCTGTCATCATACATTCCATGTCAGGCTAAGCTCTGAATAGAGGGCTACTTACATCTGCAGAAGTTGGGAAGATCAGGCTCAGGAAGTGTGGTGGCACAAGGATGCTGTTTAGATCAGCACTTTGTCAGGATATTTTCCAAAAACTCTGAAGAAAATCTGTGCCAACCTGCCATTGCCGGGTCCTCCTGAAGATGCTGACTGCTTGACTGTCATATTGATCCAATGGCTTCACTTCCTTGAACAGGCATACAGATCAGAAATTCTGACTGCACTGGAGAAATGAAAAGAGCAGCATGACACAGCCAAAGCTACTAGCATTTTCAGATAAAGTCAGCAATGGTGGCCTACATATTCTCTTGTGACAGTATTCCTTTAATGTTACACACCACTAAAAATAAAAATATGTTGTACTGAAACCTGATAAGGGAGACATGGCATTTAGTTTTGGCTTTTGCACCTGGCTCTGCCACTATCCTTATCTTCTGAGTCAGGGAATTGTAGGCCGCACCACCTTTCCACTGAGATTGCAGCAGAGTCAGCCACACACATGCTGCAGGGACATGAAACAAGAGGCTACAGTCCCATGTAGAAGCCGTATGAGAAGCCTCATGCGTGGCTAGCAGGGGTTACATATCATTACATAGGTCCTTCTGTCTTTCAGTTATGATAGAATCACATCACTAGCAGTCTTAAAAAACCAACCACCCACCACTCTGTGACCATAGCCATTCGTTTGTGATCATAACTGCTGCTGCATACAGCTTCTAAAAAATATGCATCACTCACAATTATCTCACCTGTACATATGTTTAAAAATGTTCAATCAAAAAATACATTAAAAAAAATGAAGAGGACTAAGCCCCAGTTCACACATTGGCATGACTTGGCATGTGACTTGCAACACAGAGTTGTATGACAAGTGAAAACCTGTTAATTTAAATGGCGGCTATTCCAATCAATGCGACTCAAGTTGCAGCGACTTTTAAAAAGGTCCCTGCACTACTCTGATGCAACATTAATGTGACTTGAGCCCCATAGATTCTAAAGTTGCATGAAGCATCATTGCACGCCAATGGGGTCTCAGCAGTGAGAACCGAGGCTTAAGTTTTCTGACCCAATTTGTAAGCACTGCCTGATACAGAGAATCATGCAGCAGTCTAAAACTAAAACTTATCATAGAAACATCACATTTGATAAAATGTCTTGAAGATCATTCTGGAACGTGACTGTGCATCTCACATTTAAAATATCAACTAGGCAAAATATAACCAACACTCCATATCCAGAGATTTGTGTTTTACCCTGTAGTAGCTGTTTTAGCACATTTACACAGCTGCTATGCTATGCTGGATTTCCAGCCAGTTCCTGCTGAATGAACTGAAATTTGAGCTGTGGGTGGCCCTGGATGGATTCCTGTGGATGGAGGAATTGAATGGGCAACAGAATTATATTTGTGTATAGCTAGCTTTAGGCAGTTATAGCAGAGAACACAATGGAAGGGGAAGAGGATGAGAAGGATGGAAGAATGATATTGCAGCCTATTTAGCTGCTGTAAGCTGCTCTAGAAACAGATGACATGCAGTCTGTTCATTCCGAGTCTGTCTCTCCTTCTGTGCACTTTAGAAGATGCACTATATTTCTGTTATATAAAATTGTAGTCTAATGTTTGTAAAATTTAAAACATTTATTTCTGCTAGGGCTCCAATTTATACCATCATAATGGAATGCTGCATTCTGAGTATAAAGTGTTGGTGTGGACAGCAGCTATGTGTCACCACTCACAGAAGTCAAATATCTCTATAATAATTCCAGCCTGATTAGCGCCAACTCTGCCGTTAGCTTTTTTTTTTTTTTTGTTCAATACAGCAGTAGCCCATGTGGACGGGTCTGTTCCTGGGTGCAATGCAGGTGGCTCTGTGCTGGGTCAGAGGGGGGCAGCCACACAACAGGCCCTTGTAGTATGTTAAATACTGAAGCTGTAGCCGCCAAACAACCCCTACATTAAAAAACAGGGTTTTTATATTACACATGTAAAAATATATATATATAGAACGCAAATGACATTTACAAAGAGAATACAAACCGCGGGACAGACCATTTCAGTGTGTGTGTGTGCTCACAACTCGTGTTCAACAAACTGTGTATGTAGATATCAGTCTGTCTGTGTACAACTGTAATCCCTGCATTCATATGTCCCTGTTTCTACAGCAGATATCTGTGGCATTGTTTTGGACCCTTTTTGCACACACACCTGTATATTAGTTGGCTTAGTTTTCCCATCCGTGTACTTTATTATGGTACCTAAAGGTTGGTGTGCAGATCACTATGGAACCTATATGTATGTGGAGCAAAATGGATCCTGTATAGATGTGTGGAACACAATAGATCTTTTATAGGTAAATGTGTTTAGCAGAATGGATCCTGTATAGGTATGTAGGTGGAGCAGAATGGATCCTGTATAGGTATGTAGGTGAAGCAGAATGGATCCTGTATAGGTATGTATGTGAAGCAGAATAGATCCTGTATAGATATGTAGGTGGAGCAGAATGGATCCTGTATAGGTATGTAGGTGGAGCAGAATAGATCCTGTATAGGTATGTAGGTGGAGCAGAATGGATCCTGTATAGGTATGTAGGTGGAGCAGAATGGATCCTGTATAGGTATGTAGGTGAAGCAGAATGGATCCTGTATAGGTATGTATGTGAAGCAGAATAGATCCTGTATAGATATGTAGGTGGAGCAGAATAGATCCTGTATAGGTATGTAGGTGGAGCAGAATGGATTCTGTATAGGTATGTATGTGGAGCAGAATGGATCCTGTATAGGTATGTAGGTGAAGCAGAATGGATCCTGTATAGGTATGTATGTGGAGCAGAATGGATCCTGTATAGGTATGTAGGTGGAGCAGAATGGATCCTGTATAGGTATGTATGTGGAGCAGAATGGATCCTGTATAGGTATGTATGTGGAGCAGTATGGACTCTGTATGTAACAGACCGACCATGTGTGCAGGATGGAGTGGTAGATATGGAGTAAGGTAGTACACATCGGCAACATGTGCATGGTATTGATGTTGTAGTGATCCTGTTTATGTGAACAGCAGTATGAATCTCAAGTATATAGCAGTATGGGTTCTGTGTACACGTACACATGTACAGTTACCATGGATAAAACTATATTGATGCTCTGTAGGAGTATGTGCACACAGTAGTAACACTCATGTTTAAATGCACAGCAGATTCTGTGTGTAACTAGTGCAAGGGATTTCCTGTGTATATGGCAGTGTACTAATCCCAGGTGTACAGCAGTATGGCTTCAGGGTATATGCATGTGTGTACACAGTGAAGGGAGTGTAAGTGTGTATGTGTGTACAAAGCATTAATGGACCCCACCATTTATGAGTCCTCCATCTAGGACTGTGGGTCCAGGTTTATAAAATCAGTGTACATGTATACATGCACAGTACAGGTCCTAGAGATACAGCGGTATGGATCCCCTGTGTTTACAACACACAGCCTTGTATGTTTGTGCACAGCAGTAAAGCTCAACAGTGAGAGTTTACAGCCAGGTTATGTGTACATCTGGAGGGATTAACAATGAGTATGTACAGCCATACAGATAACTCATAGAAATTTGTGTGTACAGCTGTGGGGATCAGCAACAAGTGCATACAGCCATACAGATAACCCTCAGGATATGGAAAACCCACAGAAGTAGGTGTGTACATCTGTAGGGATCAGCAGTGAGTGTCTACAGCCATCCAAATAACCCCCTGAAATGTGTGTGTACAGCTCTATGGATCAGCAATGAGTGTGCACAGCTTTATGTATAACCCATAGGGGTATGTGGGTATAGCTGTATGAATCTGCAATGAATGTGTACACTTGTATGTATAACCCATAGGGGTTATATGTTTATAGCTACATGGATCAACAATGTGTACAGCTGTGTGCACACATGAATATCCCAGGATGGGCCCTTGTATATGTCATTATGTATGGAACATTGAGTCAGAAATTGTACAGCAATGTATATGTGTCCTTTGCTTGGATTGAGAGTCCCGCCCTCGAGCACACTTTATCGGTGGAGGTGATGGGAGAATTGTGCACGGATTCAGAGGGTCACTGCTGGCCTCTGTTACTGTTCTTATCGGTAGAGTTCAGATTGATGTCCTGGGAGGAAGAGGGGCGGCGTGGGGGCATGCGCTCATTGATCCGATCCAGACCTCGGGCTTCTTCAAAGCTGCGGATCTTGTGCTGTGGAGAGAAGCCTCGGACAGCTGCAGGGAGAAAAGATTGCAGATGAACACATCTGATGCTGTATACATGACACACCTAGAAGATCTTTAAAGTGTTTGTAAACCTAAAAAAAAAAATGATGTTAAAGCCTCTGTTAATGACTGCCAATCCATGCTAGTGTGGTCAGTTTATTTCTTGTGACATCTCACGATTTCTACAGGCATGCTGTGCAACAGTACAGCGTGCCTGTACCTTCCGTGGTCAGTAGTCGCACAGCTCCCTTCTGTGCCCATCTATCCTGGCTTGACCCTTCAGCCGGTGCTCTCCTCCTGTGTAGTTGATGGGTATGCTTGCATTTCATTGCCTTGGAAACACAGGCACTTAGCAGCCCACATCATGTGATGTAGCTGCCCCAAAGCATACACCAGCAGGTTCCTTTTTTTTTTTTTTTTTTTTTTTTTTTTTTTAAAGGAATATAGATGTAAAATATGGTTAAATCTGTATTTTTTAAAAAGTGTTAACACTGTATAACTTTACAACTGCTTTAAGGAGCACCTTTACCAAAAAAAAAAAAAAAAAAAAAAAGCTACGCATGCTACCTTTACTAACCTCCTTCTGAAAATGGTTTGTTGCCTGGATGCCTGATATTTGTGTGCCATTGACCTGGAATGAGCATGTAGCCATTGAAGTCTGATCTGTATTGGAGACTAAAATGATCACAGCCACTAGAACAGCAGGACAGCTCAGCTGCTTTAGGCAAAATGCTATAGTTCCTGCCTGTTATATACAACAAAAAGATTCTTTATGGTGTGTTGTAAAAACAAATGAGAGAGGACAACTGGATGCAAAGAGCAACCCAGACAGTGACTCATTCATAGTCATTGATAAAGGAGGCCTTTTGTTTCTCCTGACACCTATTTCTACCTTTGAGTTGGCATGAGGGGTTCTGGTTTTATTCCTGGACTTACGATTGAGTTCATCCTGTTGCAGAAATTTCACCCAACCCGAGTTTCTGTCATGCAATGCTGATGCAACATTTGGTATAATTGCTAATACAACCACACGTGCACAGGATTAGAGATCAATGTATGTCAAAATGACAGGTATCAGAGGATGAAATTCCTAAAGCATAAATCCAACTAAATGTTTAACATGCACCACTTGGTCAAGTTGGATATCCATTAAAAATAAGTTAAATGTCATTTTACATTAAAAAAAAAAAACAACAAAACTTTCCTATGTAACCGAATCAGCCCTTACACAGACATCTGGTAACCCTCAGCAGACTGCAAAAGGAGGGGGGAGAAGCACTCTAAGCCATTTGGAGCTTTGCTGCTATGCACAGTGTATGTCTTTCTAAGGCAGGCCATAGATTATGCGTAGGTGGAAAGAAAGAAAATTGCTTGAATCCCTCCAGCAGTGCTATTTTGTTCTGGCAGCAGGTAGCCTTCCTTGTCGGCAGAACACAATGATCAGTGTTGCAGGCTATAGAAGGCGCCACTAGTCATTATGGAAAAAAAACAACAGGCTGGTTGTACACAAGTAGATCGAGAGATTGTCGTGTGTACAACCAGGGAGCCAATACATGGATAAAAATTTGTCAAATCCTTGCTGAAATCGGACAAATTTCAAGCCATGTATGGCCAGTTTAACACTGAATATGGTGACAGGAGGAGGAGCTCCTTCACTGTCCAATTAGCAGGCTGTGGGAGGAAAGGTGACTAAGGGTACACTCATTCTTTCTAGAAATACCCATCAGATAGGTGAGCACTGTTCTGAAGATTTTAGGGGTGGACATCAGAATACCAATGCAGGCTCCCAACAAGTACTTTTCAACTTATCAGAGAAGCCCTAAAACCTGGAGACTTCTTGGAAACAAATACTGACTTTTACTAGGAAGATGGTGCTTGAAATGGTTCCTTTTGACCAGGTCGAAGCAGAGGCACCATGGTTGGGGGGGGGGGGGGGGGGGGGGATTGTCTGCACAGCTCAGCTGCAAGCCTCTCCTGCCTTTTGACATTTGTATCAGCATGACAGCCAAGAAAAGAGAATTTTCAGAAGGAAAGGTCAACAATAGCAGCTTCTACATTCCTCAGTACAGGTTTCCTTTAAAGGAAACATTTGCTAGATGAAACACAGGACCTGCCATTGATACTTCTCATTCTGCAAATGCAAGTCTCCTGATTGTCACATTTACCCTCTTGCTTTGATTCTCTGTATCCCTTTCCTGCTTTAAACAAGCATGCACAAAAAAAACCCAAAAAAAAAAAACAGATGACTCTATAGATTTGAATATTCATCCCAGTTCAGGGATTCAAATCTTTCTGAACTCAATTGGTCACTGTACTAGTCACAACAGTTAGGATCTTCAGAAGGAGAATGGAAGCTCTTTGGTCTCTCAGAAAAGAAAAAAAAAGAAAAAAAAACAAACACTACAGCACCCTCTAGTGTCAGTTCTACTAATTGCAGGAATGATGTTAAACAGAACACATCTCGGCAGTAGTTTTACATTAGAAATTGATGTCTCTTACCTTCCTGAGCTTCAACCGTGGCTGCAAAAAATAAACACAAAAAGAACAGCATTACATTAAAACCAAATTAGAGGTAACACTGAGTCTCATCCACCAAAGTGTCTGAAAATGCCTGCATCAGACAGAATCAGAACAACATTTGAATAAAGGATGCAAGAAAGAATCTGACTGGGCCTATCAAGGAATACAGACTTTGTAAACTTACAGTAACATTTAGCTATCCATTTCAAACAAACTGCACAAATTATTTCAAGAAAAATCAAAATATAGACAAATAAGTTTGTGGGGGAAGTATATGGGGAGTGCGCTGCTGAACTATAAAACTCTCCTTAATGCCCCATTTTGGTTGAAAGTCAAACTGTCTACACATCCTATGCTGTTAGAGGTCTCATCAACAAAATGAAAACCCACGAAATGGGGTATGAAAGTTAATATGGATGTGAAGATGATGAACTATGCCTGCTTTTCAAGATCTGTAAATCTGGCACAATTGCTGCTCAGTTTAATTTACATACGAGGACACAGAGTGGACCACAGCACCCTAGGGAAATGAACAGAGCCAGAAACAATGACAAGGAGTTGACAAATCGAGGACCAATACTATTTTTATAGATTGACTAGCCCTTTAAATAAAATAACACATCCACACACACTCTGGAGCAAAGAAAACCATAACCAAAAAGTTATATAAAGTGAATGCCTGGGCAAAATATAGACAAATATTCAGTACACCTCTGCAACACATGCACAAAATTAACCAAGCTTAACACTGCATGTACAGAAGAAAACATGATGATCCTGCCAGAAATCCACCAATGTTCTAAATTCCTGTAGTAAGCTACCAACACTGCTTCTGCTGCAATTAAATTCCTGCCTGAGTTCTTCCCTTATAGAGTACAGAACCCCTCCCCATTATGTTATGGAAACGAGGAGAGAATGGGGTACAGCAGACGAGAACTTACCAATCAAGCTCTCTGGTTGCTGGTGTGACCACTCCTGCCTCATGTACTTTAATATGGTCAATCACTGTTACTGGCAGCACTACTATTCAACATTAAAGCATACTGTGTATACCAGGATCAGCACCAGCAATGTGGGCGTTTGGGGATTGGATTACAGCATCCCAGATCATGAAGGTCTTTTGGGCTCTAAAGGAGAGCAGAGATGTCATGCAGGAAACTGTACGTGTCTGCTTAAGTAAGCAAGAGTGCTCGAGAGTATTTCTCTGAACAGATTCACTTTTAAGAATTAAAAAAAAAGAAAAATTTGATTTATCCGTAAATCTCACCTTGGAGTACAGTACAGAACACAGGGCTGGTATTCCTAGACCATGAGTTATATGCAGGCTACCATCATATGACTAGACACTGGCAGAAAAATAGCTTGGGCCTCCCCTAGAGCACAATCATATAACCCAACCCATTCTGTAAGACTCCAGTTCTTTAGCAAGCGATAATGAGTGATCAAGACACAGAGGGGATGGGCCTGTGGCCTCTATCGTGTTCCTACATAAGGAATTTAAATTGCTGATGTTTTAATTTTACAGTACACTGGACTTGAATTTATAGACCATGGGACCTATCCAAGCAATAAACTGAGGGGTGGGCAACAACATAGCAAGCAGAACTGTCAAACAGGCAGTTAACAAGGGTTAACGAATCCAAACAAAAAAAAGATGACAGCTTGAAGCACCTTGTGTTCAAAGCTCACTTCAGCTGAGGCCTGAACACCCATCTGGAAGAACTTGGAGAACATGTGAACAGAAGACCAGGTTGAGGCCCTGCAAATTTTGACGCTGAAAAGCCCAAGAGACACCAACAGCCCTGGTGAAATGGGCTATGATAGGGAAGGAAGTCTGTCCTGTGCCCTGGAGATAAGTTGTCTGATTCACCTGGCAATGGTGGAGCAGGAAGCAGGATGCCCCCACAGACAGAACAAAAAGGACTCGGTCTTGTGAATAGAGGCTGCAGTTGCCAAGTAAACCCTGACATCCCTTACCACATCCCGTCAATGTAGGGAAATTTCCCTGTCATATTTTGGGGCAGGACAAAGTGATGGAAGACAACTATCTTCAATGAGGTGAAAAGAAAGCACCACCTTAGCTAGGAAGGAAGGTTTTGGTCTCAAAACCACTATGCCCTTGTGTCTCTAATGGTTTCTAACAGGGAGACGGGGGGAGGGAGTTTGCGCTAAAGAATAGAGTGAACCAGATTAAGATCCCAAGGTGACACAGGAACTCCTATTCGGGAATGTATATGTCCCTAAAGAAAAGTCTTGATTGGGAATTGTGAGGCAAAAGGTTTCTGTAAAAAATGGTTAAAGCAGATACCGGTCTCTTGGGGGTACACAGGACCAGGTGTTGTTCAAGGCCAGATTAAAGAAAGGCCAGAATAAGAGTGACAGAGTATGCCCTGGGACTCCACCAGGAGAGTCAGAAATACCCTTATCCTTTAGAACGCAGGCTTCAAAAGCCATATCGTTAAAAGTCAGTAACTGAGAGGCAAGATGGAATAGGGGGCCTTAGGTGAGTAAGTTTGGTTTTCTTGGATGAGGCCTTCAAGCCTTATCCACCAGAAGTCTTACTGTATATGTGCACAACATTCTTCTGGGCCAATTTGGTGCAATGAGAATGACCAAAACCCTCCTCAACTTCTTGAGCTTGAATGGAGTCCATAAAATCACCTAAGCATCTACTGCAAACGCTAGAGGATCCCTAGTCCGTGACCACTAATTTGTTCATCTTCTTGATGAAACTAGAGTCCAGGATGTCCACATGATTTTTCCTACCTTTGAGAGATTTTGAAAGATTTTGGGGAGCAAAGACTACTCTCTTGGAACTGAATACGCTTAGGAAGTCCACCTGGCAATTGTCCGCTCAACGGATGTGGAAGTGAGGTCAAGTGTTGTAGAGATAATCTAATGGCTCTCAGTTCCAGAATATTGATGGGAAGTTCCAAGTCTTGCAAGGACCATGCCCTATGGAAAGTCAGGAAGTTGTAAACGCCACCCCAGCCTATAAGGCTGGCATCCATTGTCACCACCATCCACGGCATGTGAAGGAACAACTTTTCCAATTCAAGGATAAGATTTGCAATCCGCCATGGCAGAGGGAGCTTTGTTTGCCTGGAAAGAAGCATTGGATGATCCAAGGATTTTATTTGCATGTTGTACGTTGTAAGTTTGTTGGATTGTGGTCTGGAGTCAAATCAACCAATTCTCAAAAAATACATTTTAAAAATAATTAAGTGCAGAAAAGTGCAAGTGAAGTCCATTAGTCAAATAGAGTAACAAAGCTATTATCAAGTCCTGTACCATTAAGATAAAAGATTTTTTAAAGACATGAGCAGTACAATGTGACACACTAAAACATTCCACCTGAAACCATTTATTGCTCAGACATGTATGATGAGTGGATGGGAACAAAGAGCCTCTGTACAAGTCTTTCATACCGAGTCATCACTACAGAGTACAAAAAGCCCCTAGAGAAAGGTTTTGTTTTAATCTAAGGAAAGGCTAAAAGCATGTTTAATTCTCATTTCTATGGTATGCCAGTGCTTCAACATTGGACAGATAATGCTCCTAAAAGATACCAAGATACTTAGTGAGATTGTTTTGATGAATAAGGTGATTTGAGGACACTAACACCTAGATATGACTGACTCCTGAATACTGGATATTTCTGCATACTGAACATATTTATGTGACCTACTTCCTCAACATAACTGGCACTGCTAAGGTGTCCACAGACATGGCAGTACCCTAATGTGGCTGTTTTTACAGATTGAGTGATGGTCTAATGCAGCAATGGGCAAAAACTACGGCCCGGCGGACCTTTTAATCCGGCCCGCGGAGCGTGATGTGAGGCTGTCAGGATGTGTGTAGGCGGGGCAGCGTGACGAACGTGAAGGGAGCTAGGCTCCTTTCACAGTCCGCCCTGAAGACCGGAACGGCGCGGGAACACGGCGAGAGGAACGCGCGGAGCAAAGGTAAGTAAATTGACACAGGGGGACACAGGGGGGGACTTACTATGGGGGATGAATAAGGGGGATGAATTACTATATGGGGGATGAATTACTATATGGGGGATGAATTACTATGGGCGATGAATTACTATATGGGGGATGAATTACTATATGGGGGATGAATTACTATATGGGGGATGAATTACTATATGGGGGATGAATTTCTATACTATTACTATGGGGGATTAATTACTATGCTTACTATGGGGGAATATTACTATACTTACTATGGATGACACATACACATCATTCATCTACTCTTGGTCCGGCCCCCGGGTCCAATATATGAACCCATTGCGGCCCTCAAGTCAAAAAGTTTGCCCACCCCTGGTCTAATGTCTACAGGGCAGCCCAGGCATGTGTCACTTTTCTCCATAGCTGGAGTTGTACAAATATTTCTGTGCAGACCTGAAGCTGTGCCAGAAGAAATCAATTCAATTCAAAAACAAGATTGATACAATTTGTGATTATAACTCCACTGTACAGAAATGTTACCTACCTAACATTTCATGTCCACCTGCACACCCTGTTGCTATTGAGGAAGTCACTGAAATTTTTTTTGCTCACCTAACCCCTGCACCCCATTGCCTCGCAAATATTATGGTCACCCTCTTGCTCTACCCTACACTGTAACTCGAATCAACAATCTCTCCCTCTTTTCTGTTTTTTTCCCCAACCCTCTAAAAATGGCACTGGTCACCCCCATAATTAAAAAGCACTGGCTGAACCTCACCAATCTTAACAACCTAAGACTCTTCTCCTCGCTCCCTTTTACCTTCCAAATCCTTGAACACTTGGTCTACAATCGCTTGAGCCACAACCTTACTGAGAATAACCTTCTTGATCCCCTTCAGTCTGGATTTGACCCACAACACTCCACAGTAACTGCCCTCTCAAAACTCATGAATGGTTTACTAATGGCTAAAACCAACGGTCACTATTCTGTACCCTTACACTTGAACCTTTCTGCTACCTTTAATAAAGCTGACCTCCCCTTCCTCCTCAAAAAACTCCATTCCCTTGCCTTTGTGACTGTACTCTTCATCAGTTCTCATCTTGACTATATTACCGCACCTTCAGTGTCACTTCCAACTCTACCTCCTCCTTTCTCTGTTAGGGTACCATAAGGTTCTGTCCTTAGACCTCTCTCATTCTCATTCTACACCTCCCCCTGGCTCAGCTGATAGCCTCCCATGGCTTCCAATATAATTTTTACCCTGATGGCACCCAAATCTCTCTCTCTACCCCTCAGCTCACTCCATCAGTCTCCACACACATCACTAATTTACCAACAGACATATCAGTCTGGATGTCACACCACTTCTTTAAACTCAATCTATCCAAAACATAATACTCCTCCCCTAACTTCTCTGTTGAAATTCACATCAGTCCATCCCCGCATTTTAGGGTGTTAGGTGTAATCCTGGACTCTGAACTCTTCTTTTAACCCCACATCCAATCACTGTCCAAATCTTATCGCCTCCACACCATCTCCAAAATATACCCCTTCTTAAGCAATGACACCGCAAAATTCTAATTCTCCCCCTGGTTGTCTTTCATCTCAACTATTGCAATGCCCTCTTCATTGACTTACCTTTACATAGACTATCCCCCCTTCAGTCCACGATGAATACTACTGCCAGACTCATCCACCTCACAAAACGTCCAGTGTCTGCTACCGCTCTCTGCCGATCCCTCCATTGGCTTCTGCTTACCCAACAAATAACATTCCAAATACTAACTAGAACTTACAAAGCCACCCCCAACTCTGCCCCCAGCTACATCACTAACTTTGTCTCAAACTACCAACCAAACGTCCTCTCCGCTCCTCCAAAGACCTCCTGCACTCTAGCTCCCTCATCTCCTCCTCCCTTGCTCACCTCCAGGACTTCTTCCAAGCCTCTCTCATCCTCTGAAACTACATCCCCTACTCTAACCACTTTTAGGCAATTCCTGAAAACTCATCTCTTCAGAAAAGCCTATCCCACCTCTACCCAACAGCTCAATGTTTACTCATCACCCACAGTTATTGCATTCATGCATGCATGCAGTTCCATCCATGTCAATTGGAACACAGTGGCTGCACAGACACAGCTGTTGTCCCAGTTTGACATCCGTGCAGGTGCATGTCTCCAAAAGCACACTGTCCACGTTCGGAGACATGCACACGCATCTGCTGGGATGTCAAATTGAGAGTAGTGGCTATGTCCAAATTGATATGAATGGGACTGCCTGCGTGCTGAAGCACAGGACACCTTTGCATCCCCATACGGGCAAACAGGGCCCTTGCATGGGTGTGCGCTTAAGGCCTATGTCTAAATTTTCAATTAAAAAATACACACATTATTTTAGTAAACAAAAATGCAATAAAAACCCATTTGTTTGTAAAATATAGAAAATGAGATTGTGTTGAGTAAATAAAATATCAACAGGTCCATGACTAAAAATTTTGTGCACCCAAGAAATGGCAACAAAGTTTAAAACCCAATATTGTCTATTGGTGACGCACAGGACCCTCAATGTTTCTCTTGTACTGTCCCTGAGCTGAGGACAGAAAGTCCTCAACTTGAAATCATTCCAAACTATAAGGAAAATTAAATGATGGAATTATCTGCTCTTTTCTGCTGAAGTTTAGAAAGCAGCAGATGGCTAAAAGATATGGCTAATAAAGCTGACAAAATATGCAAATAACTCCAAAATGTAGCTCTGAATCTTCAATAAAGGTGTAATCTGAAAAGGACCTTCACCATAAACCTAATTTCATCCCACCTCCAACCCCCTCCCTCTCTATCAATTTGATATAGAGGGAGGCAAGAATGGAGTCTGTGCCACCCTGCCTGGATTCTGCACATACACAGAAGTGCCACAGGGCGTCAGGTCCAGACAGACCGGGCACATCTGCGCATGTGTGGGTTTCCCCTATAAATCTGCACAAGTGTGGCTTTTCCTATGCATGCACAAAGACGATTATTACAGAAGACCGAAAAATTTGTCATCTTTGCGCATGCATGGGAAACATCCTGCACGTGGGCAGATGTACCGAAGGGCTCTGCCAGGATCCAATGGCTGGGCAGAGCCATTCTGTATATCTGTGCAAGTGCTATAATGGTGGCTCCACCAAATATCGGGACTGCAGCTCCTCTAACTTGGGAAAGATGGTGCTCATTCTATTATACAATAACATTTGTAACAACATTTCTTAGTACTTAAAACCTGGTAGATGGAACCACAAAGATCTTTCCATGGTACTACATTAGGTGGTTAGAAAAGATTTATAAACATTTTTCCCAGCAATCCCTTTCATTACAGCTTCTTATCAACCTGTATATATTAAAACCTAACTTTTCTGACAGAATGAGAAAGCTAAAATTTGTCACGTTTTTATTATTTCTGTATGTGACCCCTTTACAGCCATTTTCTCTCGCTTCCTGTCCCTATGACACCAGGACATGAAATAGGTGGGAAGCAGTTGTCATCAGGACACGAAGGCACAGACAGCAATAAAAACATTTACCTGAAAGTCAAACTTCTTAACTCTTCTAAAAAAATGTGTTTTTATCTCTGTGTCCCCATCCTATCAACTCCTGTCCTGGAGGAGAAAGTGGAAGAAAATCTTCCCAATGGGGACACCTACAGCAATGAAAACCATGTCAGATGTTCAAAAACTTTATGCAAAACTAAATTAAGAGTTGTGGCTGTTAAAAAAATAAAAATACATATTTAACGTTAGCCTAATTTTGTAAGTGATAGTGCTGCAGCTTTATGCAAATTTTCCCTTCCCCCTGGAGCACTCTGGAGGTCTTTAACACTGTGTTCTGAGTGAAAGCACCAGTCCGAAGCTCTCATGGTCCCACACATGCCCCATTGCACAGACACAACTACTGTGCTCAAATCAAGAACCTTTCTATCTGACTGCACAGCTCTAGCTGTGACCAGGCGAGGAGTGGGGGCATATCAGACAAATGCAGAGACACCCATATCCTCTATGCAGCACACCACAGGGATCTAACACTCTTATGCTGCTGTTACAGTTTAAAATTTTATCAAATACCAGTAACCCATTTAACAATATATGTTTTCCTGCACCTTCTGCTTCTCTATGGAATATCTATACATACTTCAATTGTTCAAGTTCCTTCCTTACCGCTTTCAAGGGTCTGTCTTCCACCAGACAGGACCCCTTGGGGTAGTGTTCCTGTGGGTGTCAGTCCTTTCAGTGTCAGCACACTCTCACTCTCCTCCCTGTGAAATAGAGGGGTAAAAGTCAGACTAGAGGTGCCACTTGTTACAGACACACACAGCTCTGTTGTTTAAATGGCCCCAGATAATTATATGTCAAGGTTTGCCTACATATGAGAAAACTCTAAACTCTTTTGGGATGATCAATTGCAACAGAGTTCAGTGCCCCATCTCTTCATCTTTCAAACAAGCATTACCAAGTTTGTCAGTGGGATTATCTCAGATACTTTTGATTCTGCAGGATAACTCCATGTTAGTGCGGCTTTATAAATTGTGGCCTGGAAATACACTTTTAGATACAATACGCTAATGATTCAACTAACTTATCTTCCAACTGATCAACACATCTCGGGAATTCATTCGCTCTTAAAGAGGAACTTAATGCAGAGTTCCACTCAACCAGTCAAAAAAAAAAAAAAAATAAAAGTCAGCAGCTACAAAAACTGTAGCTGCTGACTTTTAAAAAACAAACAGTCGCTTGTTGTCCTCGGTCCCGTGGACAACAAGCAACTGTCCCTTGGTCCCGTGGTGTGTGTCCCGTAGCCCGTTTCACTGGCTGTCCTGTATTCCAGGAGGCCGGCATCTTCAGTGTGGGCACCCAACTGTGATAGCTTGCGGCTTCACAGCCGGGTACCCACTGCGCATGAGCAAGTAGAGCTACGCTTCATGAATAGTCCTTTAGTCTTCTGGGACCTGTCATGTGTCACAAAAGACTACAGGGAAGGAGGATACCTTCCGTTTCCAGTCGCCTAGGCAATCGGACCGGAAGTGGGAGCGGGTACCTGTCAAAGTCGGGTACCCACTCCCCGCCCCCCCCAAAGGTGCCTATCCTTAATGGGGAGAGGGAGAGCAGTCCTTAAAGCGGAACGTCCCCTTTTGGGTGGAGCTCCGCTTTAACATCGTCTGAGCACCACAAACTGAAGACGCTATTTATTTCATTTTTAATATTCAAAGCAAAGTTACCCATCCTTCCATTTCCCCATGCTTTATTTTAATGAGAAATTACTTTGTAAAACATCCCCCTAGTATTTCTAGATGTGGCCATCTTGAATAAGGGCAGATGATGTAGCATTTACTTCCTGGAATCCATCTGCCCTTAGCTTAGACAGAAGAAACAAGGAAGTAACTGAAAAAATGTATAAAAAAAAAAAAGAGTTTAAAACAAGTAAATACAATACACCATCCTATCTATTTACTTATGCCAGCAGGATAACGATTAAACATAGTTCAAGTTGTCTGTTTTTATAAGTGGTCTTTGACTCTTATGCCATGCCTCTAGCCATGTGATGCTTGTTACAACCTGAGGTGTATTGCTATACCATACTGTCCTTGGACATATACCATTCTGTATGTATAAGGAATGTACTGTGCTCTAAGGTTTTTATTTTTTTATAATATGACAAATTCTTTAAAAACTTCAATATAAAACTACCTGCATCCCAAAAGGAGGTGGTTAATGCTGACTTAGAGAGTTTAGTCCTGTTTTAATAAACCATTAGGCAGGATTATAAACATGGGTTCAGCCCTAAAAATCTGTCAACAACCTTATCTAATAAGGAAGTGCAATAACCCATAACTACCAATCAGAAGCAATCTGATAAGGCTATTGTTCACAGGCTCTGATGGACAAATCTTATCAGTTTGAGATGCTTTTGGCGTAATTCAGATATCATTGCAGGTGCATTTTCCTGCAACTGACCACATTCTCACTTGCATTGACCTGCTGCCAAGAAGCTTTTAATTGTTATAGTCATTTACAGAGACTGAAGTAGTTGTGAAGCCCTGGGTCATGTAATCAAAAGGCACTGACTCGTGTAATCAGAAGTCCTTTTTTACTTGCATAATTTCAGCAAACTGAAATCAGGTTAGTTGATGCAGGTCACTGCACTTTGCAATGCTTCTGAGTCCATGCCCTGTATTATTACATAAGCTTGCATGTGTGAGAAAACAGCCTTTCAGTAGCAATGGTTTCCTAAAAATGATTAGCATCACTCTTATCTAGATCACAGAACTTTAAGTGCTACTTTGTCCAAAGGCTGTTTGTGTTTATCAGTCTTCTATATTCTTTCCAAAGCCACAACTACGAATACATTGTTTTATTTTCTATGACATGTGAAGAGTGAGTAGTGGGTATGCTTACAGAGATCAGAGGACACATAACAGCTACATCACCTGAGCACAGAGAATACTCTGGCCATCTTCCCAATCGCTCGGATCTTATTCCGTATGATCTCTTTACGTACAGAGGCGCCAGCTAGAGAAGACCAGAGAATATTATTCTGATGAGGGAGATACTAATGGGTCATTGCTAGTAAAGCTGCATTAAAAAAACTAAAAACAAAAAAAACCAAAAAAAACAAACTTTGGCTTACTGGTGCCTTACAGTTTTAAGAATTTCATGTTAATATATAAAAAGCACCTTTAGCCTACCCTAGGGATTCCTTCAAAATTGTATAAAATGGTTTTTCAATCTTTCTGTGCAATCCCCTGAAATCCCTGTTTATATTGAACTGCAATATATCAGGTAAAAACTGAATTCAGGCTTGTCTCTGTCCTGTAAAGCTAATGCTTGGAAGATCTATATACTCCAGTGGGTTAGTACAAGCAATAGTGCTCACAGGTGGCATTACTATGGTGGTAATCTTAATGCTAAATATGTGCAGCAGTTTGTAAAGTGCTACACAAACTGTTGGCACTATAGAACACCTGTATAATAATAATAAAAATAATAATAATCACTGAATGCCACAGGATACCCAAGTATTGTTGCTAAACATTTGCATCCCTTTAATAGGGATGTTGACCTAAAAGAGTTACCAGAGATTATTTAATCACCATTTATCACATTTCTTTGGCTGTTAGTCTGGAGCTGTTGAAATACTGACGATTATGTCTGCAGATTCTGAACAGCACAATTTGCCACCTCTAAGATGATGCTTTAATATATTACAGCCTATATAAGCAATATCCAGAGCAGCAGAAGTGGCACAGCAAGAGGGGAATGTAATATGGAAATGATAACAAGATAATAGAGAGATGTTCTGTATTTGACTTACTTTCCAGTGTGTCTTCTCCATCGGAGATCAGTTCATCATCCGAGCAGATACTGAGAATATTTACCAGCATCTCAGTGACTGGAAGAGAGAGAACAATGTACAATCACCATCTGATGTCACTTATTATACCCTGAATATGTCATGTATTAACCTTTCCAGATATTAGAACATTAAATGAAAAATTGAGGGACAGTCATGTCTATGTTGCCGTTAGAAAACTAATTTTAATTTCTAAGCTGCACTAGAAACAGGTTCATTGGAATCTGTTAGCTAAGTGCAGCGGACACTTAAAGTGGAACTTTAGGTAAAAATTAAAAAAAGGCGACCATGCTTTGTCTCTTCTGCATTAAAGTCTTTCCCTGCCATGCAGACTCAGCTCACTGTACAAATTCAGCAGTGCCCAATCTGATGGATCTCCCACTCATGTATGGGAGTGACGTCAACCCCGCCTGGCCAATGAAAGCAGCCGGCGATCAGAAAGATGTCAGTGTCCGAGTGGCGAGTTCCGGAAGCCCGCATCTCTGGATCTCTCTGTGACAAGGGAGCGAGCCCGCATATGTGCCCCCATAGGAAGCAGCTTCCTAGGGGGGCACTGGATAAACAAGAGCAGCCAGGAACGCCAGCGGGGGACCATGTAAAAAACCTTAAGCTTTTAGAACCACTTTGAAGTTAACCTGTAATGATAAGGATATGGAGGCTGCCTTTGCCGATTTCCTAGTTGTCATGTTGATTAAGTTGACTTCAGCATTCTGAGAGGACAGTAAGGTAAAGAAGGAAATTGGAGCAGTCATGTGACCGGGGTGGGCAGGGGAAAATATTAGAGTTGAACTCTTAAACTACAGGTGACACTTTCATACCAGGAGTGTGCAGCAGGATAGGAGATTCTTCTGGGAGTGTGCAGCGGGACAGGTGACACTTCCAGGAGTGTGCATTAGGACAAGTGACATTTCCAGGGTGTTGAATGTCTGCAACACCAGTCACACCTGGTACAGGCCTGCAAAAGGAACCATAGTGCACAGTGGGGGACCTGATATCACACCCTCAAATGACGGATGTGAAGAGGCTGTAGCACTGCAAGAGAGCAAAGTTTGGAGGAACAAGCAGCAGTACAGGAGCATATAAACCCTCCTTTTTTTTTTTTTAACATGTCCTGATTTATTTATTTAACAAAGCGGGTCACTTTAAAGATTACAATGTGCACTTAGTTCCATAAAGCCGACTTCACATCAATCATCCAGTCAATAAATTCTCCTACACAAGATTCCATGTTCAAAATAAACAAAGGGTCACTGGATTATGTGATCTTTATACTCCTTTAATTAAATCAGTCCATTGTTAACTAGAGGAAGCTATGACACAGTATAATAGCTGCACATAAAGGGCATATTTTTATAGTCATTTGCAGACGTAGCTTGTCATGATTAATAACAACAGAGCTTTGTTCCCAGTGAAAGTCTACATATATGTCTGTCTATCTGTATATATACCCACTTCACTGTGTTTTATTACCTTTCTCCCCAACAAAGGGCAAAGACCAAGTGAATACATCCATGAAGTTTGGCAGCCAGTAAGGATGTGGAGAGCAATTAAACTGACGGATGTTCATCACATTATTCTCATATTTGAGCACTGCGGCTGTGAGGAGAGAGGAGAGCAAAGAGATGATTTCACATACATTGCAGACGCCTACACAAACAAGCAGTGCTAGTAGCTGCTTCCAACATGCATACTGCTGGCTGTATCGACTTCGAACGCACACACAAACACATAGTGATGACTCCAACTCCAGCCAAACAAAGACATGCTGGAATAATGTCATTCAGCCACCTATGTGAAACATACACTAAAAAAAGAAGATGACAATAAGGCTGTGGTCCAAATCAACCAATCACATTTAAGATTTTATTTTTTAACCTACATATGACCTTGAAACACCCGCCATTATTCATAAATCCACCCAACAGTTTTCTTGATGAAGACCTGTGCTTGGGGAGGGGGGGGGGGGGGGGGGGGTTGGGGGACCTAAGGGAGAATATGTGCTGCTGGCCAAAGGCAAAGTTAAAAAAAGAAGAAATGCCTAAAGTTACCAATACAAGGGTCAGTTCTGGTGTTCACACTTGGTGTGGATGGGGGAATCCTCCTCACGGTGTCTTTGTATTTTGACAGCGGGGAGACTTCCCTGTCTTCCTGCTCTCAGAATACACTGATCAGCGCTGTAACAAATTTTCCAGCAGCAATGTTCATGAGCAGTCAACTGGCTTCTCATGAACAGGAACCATATATGGATAGAAATTCAGCTAGTTGCTGCTGAAGTCTAGCTACTGAATTCCTAAAAATGATCCCTCCCTCCTCCTTTTACCTATCCTGCCTTTCTGTACTTACATATGTTTATTTCCTCTCTGGTCTGGTCACATGATCCTGCAGCTTAGGGACTGCTCGATAACTCTTGGGAATTCAGGGAACCATGGCATCACCCATAGGCTCCTATAGCTCAGCCATTGTCGGAGCTCCCTCTTCTCCCCTGCAGCATCCACTCACTGACACAGGGGAACAGGAGCTAAGGGATCACATGACCGGACCAGGGGAATTTTCCCAATGCACATGTTCTTGGAAATGGCTGCTGCATCGACCACAAGCTGGGGACCTGAAAACAGCAGATTAGAAGATATGTAGTCAGCACACCAAATTGATCCACACTTGCTTGAGAAAGGGGTCCTGTGTGGCTCTGAAATGTTGCTACTTTATACTGTAATGTGATCCTTTTAATAAACCATTTTGATGTTATTGTGGATTCCTTGGTGTGCTGGCAACTTTTTCCCATCCACACATTCGATGTGGATGCGGTAATCCTCCCCACTGTACCATTGTAATTTGACAGTGGGGAGATTTCCCACTGTCAGAATACACCGATCATTATTGCAGCCTGTTACCTCTGGTGCTGAACGAGCAAAAATATACTGACAAGGTGGTTAAACAGAAGTTGATTGGTAGATCGACTTCTGTTCAACCACAGTGGCCACACATGGATTGAAATTTCGGCTACTGAACTGGCTGAATTTCAATCCATGTATGGCCAGCTTTAGGCTTTTCTTCCATTTTAAATAAAAGCCAGTTTTTTTTTTTTTAGTTTTGAATAGCATAAATTCTCTGTCAGGTTTTTAACGCATACTGTTAGACAGGTTAATTTGGTTTGTTTGCAAGCTGGCTGGCAAGTTGAGCCTGGAATTTTTCTGTTTTGTTGTTTGACATGCGTCGCCCTTCCATGTGCTCTTTGCTGTGAAGGCCAGTTATAGACTGAAGCAGTGGCCATTTTTTGTACTGTTGAATTGTTGGTCAAGGGGGCGCACTGGACACCTTGGCTGCCATTGTGCTACATGGTGGGTGTCCAGTGCGCTCCTGCACCTTTAAGCAGGGGTGGGCTCCCTCAGGTTCACCTGCCATTGGACTATCCATTAAATACATGTGCCTCTACTATGGGGGCTCTTAAAATTTGTAGAGTTAGGAACTACAGAATACAGGGGTGCTGTGAAGAGGCTCTGTAGCTTACGCATGTATTTGCAAATGTGTGCTAACTAAACCCCTATTTTTAACGCATACTGTTAGACAGGGTAATTTGGTTTGTTTGCAAGCTGGGTGGCAAGTTGAGCTGGGAATTTTTCTGTTTTGTTGTTTGACATGCGTCGCCCTTCTATGTGCTCCTTGCTGTGAAGGCCAGTTACAGACTGGGGCAGTGGCCATTTTTTGTTTTATTGCGGTTTGTGTCTCCCATGACATATTCCCATTGTCACTGGATCAGGAAACCCAAATTGTATAGTTGTAACTGGAACAGGAGGTCAGAAGAAATATTCTAATGAAAGCACCTGTTCTGGTAACAAATGTCTAAGAGGGGATTGACCCTAAGTTCAGGTCCTCCCCAATGGGACACTGACAACAAAAAAATTTAAAAAATGACATGAATTTTTACCATCTCCAACTCTATTCAAAACAAGGAGAAAGAGTTTTTGTTCAAACATAGAGCACAGGTTCACTTTATGATCCACTGATAACGATCTAGCTCCCGGGGAAGTATACTAGACCTATTTCAGGCTCTTTACTGTAAAATGTGCACATATCCATGTATGTGGATCAGCACATGCCACAGCAGCACGTACTGCTAACCTTGAAAATGGCACTATTAATTAGCTATGAATAGGCTGTCACCAACAGATATGTATATTCACAACGACAGTGCTTTGAGATGAACTCACTGACTCAAATTTAGACACTGTGTGCCTGTTCTTCCAAAAACAGTCTTGTACCTGCCTGAAGGAGAAATACTAAATAATGAATACCATACAAAATTAAAAGAGCTTCTGGTGTTTCTCAAAAATGTTCAGGTCTCAGAAAGCCACTACTAAATGATTGTCTATACAAATCTTGGTACATTAGCCTCACCACATTGGTAGTCAATGAGAAGCAGTCCTGTTACGCTGGTGGTAAGTGGAGCTCTTTATATTGGTGGTCAGGGAAAAGAATGTCCCTCTTCACAGACAGCTAACACAATTATTAGGGTAATTCGTTACTTACCCAAGAAAAGAAAAGCTCCACTGGCCGCATACAGCTAGCTCTGCAGAGCAGCATTGGTGCCAGAACTATACAGGCACCATCAGATGGGAGTTTAATCAACCACTGCTCAAGGAACTCTTTGCAACCTGTGGATGAACCCTTAAGTTCCACAGAACCTTGTTTGAGAATGGCTGCCCAAGAAGAATAATGCCCCCCCCAAAGACATTAACCATGTGACCTTGAGAGTCCAAAACCGAATTATGTGTTCTAAACACCATATACAGTGGGAAAAATAATTAATTGATCCCCTGCAGATTTTGTAAGTTTGCCCACTTACAAAGAAATGAAGGGTCTACAATTTTTTATCATAGGTGTATTCTAAATGAGAGAGACACAATATCAACCAAAATGCAGAAAAAATACATAATACAAAATGTTATAAATTGAGATTCAGTGAGTAAAATAAGTATTTCATCCCCAAGCAAAACCTGACTTAGTACTTGGTGGAGAAACCCTTGTTGGCAAGCACAGAGGTAAGACATTTCTTGTATTTGGTTACCAGGTTTGCACACATCTCAGGAGGGATTTTGGTCCACTCTTTTTTATAGTTCTTCTTTAAATCCTTAAGGTTGATTGGCTGTCGCTTGGCAACTCGAAGTTTCAGCTCCCTCCATAAATTTTATATAGGATTAAGGTCTGGAGACTGGCTAGGCCTCTCCACAACCTTAATGTGCTTCTTCTTGAGCCACTCTGTTGCCTTGGCGGTATGTTTTGGGTCATTGTCATGGTGGAAGACCCATCCACAACCTATTTTCAGTGTTCTGGCTGAGGGAAGAAGGTTCTCATCCACGATTTTACAATGCATGGCCCAGTCCATTGGACCCTCAATGAGGCAAAGTCGGCCTATACCTTTAGCAGAAAAACAGCCCCAAAGCATAATGTTTCCACCTCCGTGCTTGACAGTAGATAGTGTTCTTAGGGTCATAGTCAGCATTTTTCTTCCTCCAAACATGGTGAGTCGAGTTAATGCCAAAGAGCTCAATTTTGGTCTCATTTGACAACAGTACTTTCCCCAAATCCTTCTATAAATTCTTTAGATGTTCATTGGCAAAACGTCAGACAGGCCCATACATGTGCATTCTTGAGGTGGACCTTGTGAGTGCTGCAGAATTTCAAACCATGGCAGCATATTGCGTTACCAAAGGTTTGATTGGTGACTGTGGTCAAAACTGCCTTGAGATCATTCACAAGCTCCTTCCATGTAGTTCTGGGCTGATTCCTCACTTTTCTCATGGTCATTCTTACCCCATGAGGCGAAATCTTGCATAGAGCTCCAGACTGAGGACAAATGATGGTTACTTTGTATTTCTTCCATTTGCGAATAATTGCTCCAACAGTTGTCCCCTTCACCAAGCTTCTTGCTGATGAATTGGAAAAAACTGGAAATATTCCCCTGGGACTTTGATGGCAAAAACCTCAATGAGTATGCAGAAAGTGTATAAAAAGAGAATGTTTATTAAAACACATAAGCATGATAAAACAAATCAATGAGGAAATTGTAGTACAATATTTCCTGTATCATATACAAAACATACACAATGTGCATTGAACCTGACAGTCTATAACACATCAAATGGTCAATGGGCAAGCAACCCAACCAAACTTATACAGTGACGTTGTTCAGACAAATCCAACATGTTTCAGAACTTTGATTTCCTTCTTCAGGGATTAAATATGTCAGAATATGTCTAGAAACATAGTAGCATATAAGAAAAACAAACAGTCAGATAACATAGTATCATTTTATGTTACCAATCCATCTGGCCTTAAAGAGGCCTTCAATTTCAAACCTTTCCTGCCTGGTTTCCACTCTGGGGGTTGTAAAAGGGATTTATAATTTTTTATTCATCTCTTCTATTGTGCCATGTTTGTACTATTCTGCATTATTGTCCATGTTTTCTATTTGATGTTTTTTTTTCCCCTTTCTGTATTTCAGCAATATTAGGTATTATTTGTATATTTTTTTGTACCATGTTGTTTTTGTCTTCATACTTTTTTTATTGGGGGGTGATGCTCCCACTGACTGTTTGTGGGATGGCTGGATGGGAATTGCCCCTTTTGCTGCCGTCCGCCACCCAGCGTGCCCGGGCCCACCCAGGGGGAGCCTCATGTTTTTCCGGCCTCAATAGAAGGTGCCTGCAGCACCTGTTTTTTCCTCAACAGCGGTCTCTGTGCCCGTCTCTGGAATGTCAGGTGTGTGTGGTGCTCCGATCATATCACGACCGGCTAAGCACGCCGGCGGTCCTGTGTGTGCAGTGGTGTTCCGCACATGCGAGTTGCGTAATTGCGCAGGTGGGCGGAGCGGCTTGCCCATGGGGCCGGGGGACTGCCATTTTGAGGCCATGTGGTATCTAACAGTATGAGGGGGCAGACTTACTTATTTTACTATTCACCAGATGGTTGCTCATTGGTTGGCAGTATTTGACCATCACTATTTATATCATATCTCAGGAACATGCACTCCTCTTGGACAACCCTGAGGTGGTTATATGTGAAACACACAGGCACTATTGGTGAGCATACTATAAATGTATATCTGTCTATGCCCTTTTTACAAGGCTCATTTGTTTGTATACTGGACTAAATATATATATATATATATATATATATATATATATATATATCTTGTACTATTTCCATCTGGGCTGAACCCTTTTTCTTGCCCACCTAGTATAGTACATGCTCTTACTAAGCCATTATGTCAATTGGACTATATACCTAATACATACTCTTATGTGCTCATTAATCTATATTAGATCTTTTCATATGTGGCCTCCATTATACTCGCTATGTCCCCCCATTGGTTGCTGCCAGGTGGTGGATGGAGCTATGGGACGTATCTGCCTGTCCCCTCCCTGATGTGTCAGCGGGTGAATATCCTCATCCAATGTTTCCATTAATACCTGTCATGTATTACTTCATGTGGTGCAATCTGTAAGTGTTTGAGTAACCAGCTATTCCTTACATATTTTTTAAAATGATACTATGTTATTTTACTGTTCATGTTTTTCTTATATGCTGCGGTTTCTAGACCTGACATATTTAATCCCTGAAGGAAGGAAATCAAAGTTCTGAAATGCTTTGGACTTGTCTGAACATATAAGTTTCGTTGGGCTGCTTATTGTACTACATCGAATCTTTTGATTCGTTTTATCATGCTAATAAACATTTTTTTATACTCTTTCTGCGTACTCATTGAGGTTTTTCCCATCAAAGTTCCATGGGAATATTTCCATTTTTTTTCTAGTTCATATATATATGGGGATGCTGCCAAAGACAGTTTCATGGGGGGACTCTGTACCATATTGTTTGTTTTTATAGCTTCTTACTGATGGTCTTGTAGCCCATTCCAACCTTGTGCAGGTCTACAATCTTGTCCCTGATGTCCTTTGACAGCTCTTTGGTCTTGCACATGAAGCTGAGGTTTCAATGAAAGAAACAGATTCTGTGGACAGGTGTTTTTTATACACATGAGTTGTTAGGAGCATCTTCTTAAACTGACAGGACTAAGCTGTGTGCCACATGAACACATAGTCAGTCTGTGGAAGCCAGAATTATTGTTGGTTTGGAGAGGATCAAATACTTTTTTTACTCACTGAACTGCAACTCAATTTATAACATTTGTATCATGTGTTTTTTTCAGGATTTGTGGTTGATATTCTGTCTCTATCATTTAAAATACACCTATGATAAAAATTATAGACCCTTCATTTCTTTGTAAGTGGGCAAACTTACAAAATCTGCAGGGGATCAAATTACTATTTTCCCCACTGTAAAGCAGCATAAAAGCTTAGGAATAGGCACATTATCAAATGGAATCAATCTTGTGTGCAAATAGAAGTGAGAGCCAAAATATACCAGCCTGAAAAAATGTTCGCTAGGTACATATGTCTGAAAGACATTCGTTCTTTAACCCCTTCCCACTGGCACCTCCTGGCCCTTTAAGAGTTTCAGAAGCCGGGAGGTGGGACGGGGTTTAGGAATCATGTGACCGCCGTGACGCGTCATCACGGCGGTCACATGATCGGGAAAGGTCCTGATCAAAAGATCAGACCGGGACCTTTCCGTCAGTACCGGACATGTGTGCCGGGAGCGCGCAGGGTGGGTGCTCTCAGCACATATGTTTTTTGTTAATTGCACGCAAATGTGCGGCCGCTCGGCGTCTAGGCCCAGACGCCGGGAGGCCACATATTTGTGTGCTGCCGGTGTGAAGAGGTTAAAAAGGGAGCATAAAGTGCAGCCTCAGGATTAAATGCGTCAAAAATGTAGAACAGTGTACATAAAAGTATTGGTCACATCAAATATGTATATCCAGGGACTCCAAATTGTATTCACACAGGACTCCAGAATATATCTGCCTATCTTAGGACAAATCCTGTTCCAATGGCTACTAAGGCAGCAGATGGCAGGTTTGCTCAGGGCACAATTATATGCATAAGACTAACAGTATAGAGATGTCCAGTTAGGATAGCAATCAGGGCTCCCCCACCCCATAGCTCATATGTTGCTTAGTTGGCCAAGCTCTAGAGCATAAAGTCCTCATTGGAATGAGAGTCACACCATACTAATTTGTAGTCATTCAAGGAAGAAAATAAACACTTAGGACAGAGTCCTTGAGGGTAATAATGGATAACAAATGATAAATGTTGACAGCACAATCACATTATCAGCCACAGGCTAACTGTGTGGATGGATGAACTTCTACTGCCAGCAATTTTATTCCATTGGCACCCATGACTGCCTGAATACCGAAACAGTGACTGCACTGAATAGGATGCAGTCACTGCTCAGCCAATAGTTTTCCACCCAGCTTGGTAAATGTTTAAATCTACTTTTGTCAAGCTATGCGGGACTTGCAGGGTCACTCATGACTCAAATTTTGTGCCAACTTTGGCCAGCATTACTGAGGACTAACAGAATAGAATGTGAGACAGGGAACTCTACCAATATCACAGATCAGGGAGGGATACATAGAAACTATGGCATTTTAAAGCAATATTATGTACTATGTTGTTCACTTTTTTCTTATACGCGGTTATGTTTTAGACCTGACATGCTTATTCCCTGAAGGAGTTTCGAAAAGCATTGGATTTGTCTGGATAACATCACTGTATGAGTTCTTTTGAGCTGTTACCATTTTTGCCAGCTGATGTATTACAGACTGTCAGGTTATTCACATTTTGTGTATGTTTTGTATGTATATCATGAACCATTGTATTGGAATTCACTTTATCGAACCTATTGGTTTGTTTTTATTATAATATTCTTTTGCAACAAACATTATTTATATACATTTTATATTTTTGTATACTTACTGTAGTTTTTGCCATATAAAGACCCAGGGGAATACTACTACTTTTTCTTAGTATTCTGTATACAGAGCTTGAGTAATGACCATAAAATTTACAATATGCAAAGTTTATGGAGTGCTCACACTGTTCCTTAGACATATCTCAGACAATGTCTCTTCTGTCCAGGCAATAATCACAATCTCCTATATACAAAGTACAAACAGAGATGACTGCTAGGGGAGTGAATCTGCCTGGGTTCCACTGGGGAACCATTTCCGGAATTTTGCTCAATGAATGAGAACTTTTCGGTGAATCCCACTGACGTTTATGTAGGGGGGAAATATTATTTAATTCTGCCCTTTGGTATGACTATTAAGCAAGCTGTTATCAAGAAAAAGACATGGGAAGCCAGGCACTTCCAAAGGGGATGTTTAAATAACTAAATCAGTATCTCTGCCTAGCTCCAAAATACACCGACAATATGGTTGATGTAGGTCTACCCTTTACAGAAAGGAGGCTAGGTTATCTATTCCTACAGATTATTGGCTTATGTGACTCTGCTGACCAGGGCCAAGCACTATGACCTGTTTTATACTGTAGGTTGTTGATTATTTCTGGCAGCAAACCGTCAAACTTTGTGAATCCTGAAGTTTCATTGCAAAAATATGGTAAAAGCAAATCTAAATCTTATCCCTAGTGACAGCACAGTACATACACAATAACATTTAAAGTAGAACTAAAGGCAAAACTTTTTTTCGTCTCAGAACCAGTCAGATTTCTAGTGCTGTTTGTGCACGAAGATTCACCCTCTCCATCTGTCCTGTATACTGACAGTGAAAATAAAGCCAAATTTTGGTTTGTCTCCAGAACAGGGGATAGAGGGGATATCTTCCAATGGTGACAATCAGGGATTCTTTCACTTTGAAGGGATTTCCTCTCACTTCCTATTTTGGCGATGGGACAGGAAGTGTCCACAATGAGATTATAAAAAAAAAAAAAAAAAAAAAAACAAACAATTGACTGGGGTTATAACTTTCCCTTACTCTATCCAAAATAGAAAAAAAAAAAAAAAAGTTTTGCCTTTAGTTCTACTTTACCATCCTGAACAATGTGCCACCTTACTGCAGTTAACATCTTTACAAAGTTGGCACACTTATAGCAAGAAGTGCAGAAAACATCCCACCCAGCTATTGGTCATCAGTGAGAGTCTCAACCATCAGTCACTGTCTTCATTCTTTTGCATGGCATAGGTAATAATGAAAGTACCTAAAGTAAAATGTTTTGGCTGACTACTGGCACAGTTTTATTAGTCATGCAGAAAAGAGTAGTCTCTTGTATTGGCCACTATATTACGGCATTCTGTTTTTATTTCATAACAAGTAGGAAGGTCCCTTTAACTATAAAATGCACACAAGCCAGATATCCCTCTAACCTTTGTTGTTGTATACATCAAGGTAATTCGGTGCAGAGAAAATGGTGATGAGAGATGGAAAACCAGTTGTCTGACTCTTTCGATACATCCGGTAGCTGCAGATTGAAAGAGAAGCATGATATTGGGTGTATAGCATGCATCACCATGTAACTCTGCATCACTGTCCATCTTCTATGGCAACCACTGCACTGATGCTTTTCTGATTAAACAAAAGAGTGCACACATTTCTTTATAGCTATTGCTGATCTCTGCAACTACACCTCTTATCTGTCCTCCCCTCCCTATTTATTTAACATCATCCAGAGAGGAAACCACAGTATGACGTGATGGCATATTTTCTCTGCCAGATAACAATAGGAAGGGAAAAACATTACCCAGCATCCTGTGCTTCATGGGCCCGGATCACTGACAGGAGGTTGTTGCTCTGCAGGAATTCACAGACAGCAGGATAGCTAAAACACAGATATCATATTAATTAAATATGATAGGAATTATTTTTAAAATTCAACAGTAAACTACATGTAATACATGCTGAGTACCAAGACAGTTACCTGTAGAAATAGGAGCAACCACGCACTGTGTTGTGGGTGAAGTGCTCCAGTGTCTTTTCATTGCCGTAATCCTCAGCAGGGTCAGACCATAGCAAATCACACATGGGGCCGAAGGCGGGCGGCTCCTTGAATCTGTCTAACTGATGAGGTGGAGAGAAAAAGGAGATAGCGGAATTAGGGTAGTATAGGCAAAACATCAATCCCATGAGACAAACCCTCCCCTTTCCCAGAATTGTTCTCAGTACCCCTATCCTGTTTCAGCAGCAAACAATCCACTGTCCAAGAGGCAGCACTGTTTTTACTGGCTATAGCACCTAGACCATACAAGAGATAAAAGACGCGAGGTCTTAGTTATTGGATTCTGTTAATCATTATGATATCTCCTGTTCTTATAATAGTCTCATTTAGACATATGCAGAAAAAAAAAATGTGTTTAGATTCTTTAAATCATTTAATTAAATTAGTTTTCAAAATGTGTTTAGTTTTGTTTATTCTTTTCGAATTTGATCTCAATTTTCCAAATTCGGTTGAACTGAATTAAATTCAACTAAAACCAAAAAAAGTATCAAAATCGATTTTATTCTATTCGGAATTTGAATTTTGTAAGAGTTAATTTCCATTTTATTCTGTTGTTTTTCTCTTTTCTATTATTTTAATTTCTATTCTAATCTATGCTTTTATTATCTATTCTGTTTTTCTCTATTCTTTTCTACTCTAGTCTTTTTTATTCTATTTCATTCTATTCTTTTATTTTCTACTCTATTCTCTTCATTTTCTGTTTTATTCCATTCTTGTTTGCAAATTCAATTTTGAATTTGATTTGAATTTCGGACAAAATATTTCAGATTTGTTTAAATTCATTACTATTGTAATTCAGATATATCCGAATCTCTAAATATTTAAAAATTTGTCCAAATTTCGATTCGTAATGAAACGACCCACATGTCTAGTTACACTTCTGCTAGCAGGGAATAATGGCCAGGCTTACCCAGACTCAGACCCTTAAAGCAGAACTTCACTCTCTCAATCAACATTGACTTTTTTTTAATTCCGGCATTAGGAAATAGATCAGAGGGTATATCACAAGCATTATTTTTTATTTAGCAATTTTTCTTAAAAAAGCAAGGTGAAGAACAATATACCGTATTTTTCGCTCCATAAGACGCACTTTTTTCCCCCCAAAAAAGGGGGGAAAATGTCAGTGCGTCTTATGGAGCGAATATAAAGCAGCCGGTCCGGTATTTCTGCCGCCACCATGTCAGAATACCGGGCCGGCCGCTCAGCTGTTCTCTCCTGCAGGGCCTTACCTGTTCCTCGCTCCAGCGCTGCACAGTCTTCCCGCGCTGGCTTCTGTGACAGCCGGGTGCCCACTGCGCATGTGCTGCGCTTTGTGAATTATCCGGTGTCTTCTGGGACACATGACAGGTCTTCTCGCGCAGGCTTCTCGCGCATGCGTAGTGGGCACCCGGCTGTCACAGAAGCCAGCCCGGGAAGAAGAAAGGAAGGACAACTCCGCGGAAGTGGGAGCGGGTACCTGTCAAATTCAGGTACCCGCTCCCCCTCCCTCCCCAAAGGTCAGCAGTCTCTGGTCATTCCCTGCACTGTCTGCAGTCTCTGGTCATCCCCTGCACTGTCTGCAGTCTCTGGGTCATCCCCTGTACTGTGTCCGCAGTCTCTGACCATCTCCTGTACTGTGTCTGCAGTCTCTGGTCGATCCCTGCACTGTCTGCAGTCTCTGGTCATCCCCTGCACTGTGTCCGCAGTCTCTGGTCATCCCCTGCACTGTGTCCGCAGTCTCTGGTCATCCCCTGCACTGTGTCCGCAGTCTCTGGTCATCCCCTGCACTGTGTCCGCAGTCTCTGGTCATCCCCTGCACTGTGTCCGCAGTCTCTGGTCATCCCTGCACTGTGTCCGCAGTCTCTGGTCATCTCCTGCACTGTGTCCGCAGTCTCTGGTCATCTCCTGCACTGTGTCCGCAGTCTCTGGTCATCTCCTGTACTATGTCCGCAGTCTCTGGTCATCTCCTGTACTGTCCGCAGTCTCTGGTCATCTCCTGTACTGTCCGCAGTCTCTGGTCATCTCCTGTACTGTGTCCGCAGTCTCTGGTCATCTCCTGTACTGTGTCCGCAGTCTCTGGTCATCTCCTGTACTGTGTCCGCAGTCTCTGGTCATCTCCTGTACTGTGTCCGCAGTCTCTGGTCATCTCCTGTACTGTGTCCGCAGTCTCTGGTCATCCCCTGTACTGTGTCCGCAGTCTCTGGTCATCCCCTGTACTGTGTCCGCAGTCTCTGGTCATCCCCTGTACTGTGTCCGCAGTCTCTGGTCATCTCCTGTACTATGTCCGCAGTCTCTGGTCATCTCCTGTACTGTGTCCGCAGTCTCTGGTCATCCCCTGTACTGTGTCTGCAGTCCATTGGTTCAAAATATTTTTTTTTCTTGTTTTTCCCCTCTAAAACCTAGGTGCATCTTATGGTCAGGTGCGTCTTATGGAGCGAAAAATACGGTAGGTTTTTCTTTTAATTAAACATAAATTAAGGCCTTATGCACACAGCTGCTCCTAAACTGACACCCAAACACCAAACGCTGCTAAACTCGCCTACACTAGTTTGAAAATTTTAATGCAGATTTTCTCCTGTCAGGAGAAACAGCATTTATAATAAACCAGTGTCTTATTCTTTATTATGTCACTCTACCAAAAACTGACATTTCCATTTTGTGTTGATGGTAGTGGGTTGAACCAATGACTAGCTTCATAAATATCTAGAGGACTCCAATAGTAAGAGCTGTCCACTTGGCAATGTCATTGCAAGGAAGTCCAACTCTTATTAATGGATTCTCAGTATATTTCACATAAAGAATGCAGCAAGGGGAGTGTGACTCGCCTGGCTTCAGAGAATTCTGGGTAGTGTTTTACAATGGATTCCCATGAACTCGCAAGCAGGAAACTGTTCCTCACCTGACCACCAATGATGCTGCAACATCTCAGTGGTATGTTTGTATATGATTTTTTGAAAGTTGCATTTTAATTTTCCTATCAGCAGCGAATTTTGCATGTGTGAACTTCTAAAATGACCGATTGCCAATAATAGGTGTACACGTTCATCCACAGACTATTGTGGCCACATATCCACTGCATTACTCAGAATCAGTAGGGACTCACCTTTCTTATGTCATCCAAGCAGGTGATTTCTGGAGATAGACCTCCGTGCACACACAGGAACTGCTGGTTAAGCAGAGCTGCCAGAGGGAGGCAGTCAAAGGCATCCATGCAGGAGTCGTACACTCGCTCCGAGTACTTAATCTTACCTGAAAGGATAGGATGGGGTGGGATAGTTAGAAAAATTTAGACAGTTTGAACGATATCACAAGAGCAGCCATCTTCTACTGCACAGGAAACTAGAATCTCATCCTGGGTCGTTTACTTTCCTTTTGCTTGATCTGATTTGGCAAACTATAATGGATTTTTAGGTAAACATTTGGTTCCCTGCTATAGATGGGAGAAGATTAGCAGACAATACCTGCAACATGTTCAACACAAGACAGTCACATAAGAATAGGCTTGAAAGTAGGCACTACCCACCGACCCATGAATGAATGAATGGTCATGTGGTAAGCCATATATGTCAACTTCCTTGCAATATTTCACTGCAACAGCAAATGATAGTTATAGTAGAATAACATTATTCATCACATCTAAAATTTTGGCAACACTGTAAAAAATTGGCTAGCTAATATAAACAACACAGACACAGATCACTTCCATGCATGCACACAAAGTCTGAGTAATAGCAAATTAAATTTAAGCATTTTTTTTTTTTTTACCCTCCCCACAGGAAGTGGATGGCAAGATGCTGGTCATTATTCAACTAGGGACAGGGCCCCATTTGGTGAAGGACCACACTTGGTAACATGATAGGGGGAATTTCACCAGCGAAGCTGGGCAGCACCACTTTTTATTGCAGACATTTCTGAGGTGCGTAGAGACTAACATGGAGATGGATTGAGTGAGTCATCTTTATCAAAGTGTTTTAGGAATAGTCTTTTTTTTTTCCTCTTCACCCCTTCAATGTTTATATTAAACTAGTAAACTCCAAAAAAAAAAAGACCCCCTAGGTGGTCGAAGGCCCCTTTTACACGGGCGTTCAGTCTAGATCAGTGTTTCTCAAGTAATGGGTCACGACCCAAAAGTGGGTTGCAACCAGGGGTGGACTGGGCCCCGGGGCAAGTGCCCCCCAGGCCTCTATGGCTGGCCTTAAAATGTGTATCATTGCGGTCAGACGGTCCCATTAAGGTGGTGCGCACAGTGCACTTACAAAGCGGTCCCACGGCCCTCACGCTCATTCCTCCTTCCTCGTGGCAGCACTGGGAAGAAGTGACATAACTACACTTCCTTCCAGCCAGGCAGCTGCACAGCAGGGAAGAAAAGCACCACTGGACGCCAGGGAATGACTCTGCTAGGTACTTTTCCCGAGTTGTGGCAGGTTGATTGAGAGTGCACAAAAACAGGATGATGGGATGCGAGAAAGGAAGGGGGGCATGAAAGGGTGAGCTAAAGCAGGGCTTGGAAGGGGAAATTGAAGGAGTGCATGAAATGGGGAGGGAGGGGACTGAAAAACCCCCACAAAAATATTGCACAAACTATATTGTTTATTTAAAAAGCCACTGAAGACATTAATACTCCTAACTTCGTGTGCCTTTGAGAGAGTGGGAGGAAGAGGAGGCATTGCTCAACTTATACTACACAAGTTGTTTTGTGGAATAAATTGTGTTTCGGAAATTAAATTATTTTTGGGTCGCAACTTAATGACCAAGGACAAATGTGGGTCCTGAGGTTCCACAGTTGAGAATCACTGGTCTAGATCCATTTGTCAGTTCTTCAGACAATTCCACACTGAACCACGATGCATGTCTACGGGTGGGCAGATGTAAACAGATAATCATCAGTTTACATCTGCCTACATGCATGTCCATTCAGGTCCATTTTTTTTAATTGGGACAGCCAATGCCCAGGCCTGTTGAGAAATGGAACGGAAGTAAACGGATGCCATCTGTGAACATTCGTTCGGTTTATGTCCATTTTTAGGCAAGAAACATTTTTTGTTTATATTTTTGTCACATCTGATTAGTTTCTGCAACAACTAAGAAAAAACAGATGCAAAAAATGGATGTAGACTGATATGAACTGAACTAAACTGAACGGGATTATAAAGGTATAATTAAAGAAAAAAAAAAAAAAAGTCTATATTTATCTGCTCTTTTTAGTGTTTTGTGCAGAGCAGCCCTGATCCTCCTCTTCTCAGGTCCCCCGCCGACGTTCCTAGCTCCTCCCTCTTGTCAGCTGCCCCCACAGCAATCAGCTTACTATGGGGGCACCCGCTGCTGTGTGTGTCCATTCACCTACAGAGCCTCAGCTTGGCTCCGCTCTCTCTCTCTTCTCACTGGCTTGCTTGCTGTGACTGACAGCAGCCAATGGCTCCTGTTGCGGTCTCAGCCAATGAGAAGAGGGAGTCACGAGATAGCTGAGACTCCAGTGCACATCGCTGATCAAGAGGGGGCTTAGGTGAGGGTGGGGGGGGGGGGGGCCATATTTGTCCCATTGGGGAGATTTCCCTTCACTTCCTGTCCCACAGCCAAACAGAAAGTGAGAGGAGATTCCTGACCTGAATCCGTTTTTTCTTTGAAAAAATGTGACTGAACGGGTGACATTTGTTTGAAAGGGGTCTAAACCGTAATGCACTACATACTGGCGCATTATGACAGACTTACCTGTCAAAGGAAGTCCTACAGTGCTGTGATGTCAGCACTCGGTCACTTCCTGTCTTCCTTCTGGGTTCCATCTGTTCAGCCTCTTGAATGGCTGGGCCATGATGACATCACTCCCACACTTGTGAACAGTCACATCATAGTGGCACAGATCAGGTGTTGTGCTTGTTCACAGAGCTGAACATGCATGGCTCAGCGGAAATGATAGCGGACAGGCAGGAGGAAGCCTTTATGGCTGACGAGACCAATTGTCTCTTCTACCATAAAAATCATGCCTGGCAACATAATAAATATGAGTGGGTTTATTAACACTTTAACAGAAAATTTTAAGGATTTGCAGCAGAGAATGCAAAAACAAGAGACATGCATACATTGGATAGCAATGCTGTGTTGATACACCTTGATTGACAATCATAGCGGATATCACGACGAGTCAGTAATACACAATTCTGTTTTTATGGAAAGCCAGAAGAGAGCATTGTTGAGCAAAAATTAGAAGTGGGCCTGGGAAAAGCAGGGTTGGAGTAGTAGGACAAGGGTAAGAAGGGGTAGATGGGCACACTGGGGTTGTTAGGAGGGTGCAAGGCCCTGTTGGTGTGAAGAACCCATGGGGATCATAAGGCAATGAGATTTCATTCATCCACCTATAAGTTTTAATTCACTGTGATTTTCCTGATATGCAAGCTTTTCCTAGGACAGCGAGGAAGTAATAAAATCAGAGACAGCCGTGCAACTAACATTTCCAGAAAGAGGTCAGCCGGGCAGCCTCTTTTTTTTTTTTTTTTTTTAGTGAAGGTTTTCTCTACTAGAAATAAAACCTTTAAATTGGCTGTGTGCATAAATCTTTAATCCACACACGTCAATATTTTATAGAGCCATCTTTATAAGCAATAAGAGCTTTGTAAGTATGCAGCAGATTTGCACAGTGTTCGTTGGCAATTTTGTCTCATTTACTCCAGGTTATTTGGGTTAGCCAGATCATGCCTGTGCAACACAATTCTCTGCTGGGATAAGGGCTGTGACTAGGCCACTGTACAATATGCACCTTTTCCCCTTTACCAAGTTAAGACCAAGTAGAGCTTCATAACATTTATTTTTAGGTAATAGCTACTCATATGTTAATCTCATATACAGGTTGGTGTTATTCAGACCTCTTAAAGTGAACCTGTGCTTTGTCTTGGCAGTTGCTGTCCCATCCCCAGCTTTGCAAACCCATCTTCTCTTGGAATTGAAGACAAAATGTCCCATATAAGCTCCTGTTTGGAGCTCACACATGGCTAAGGACGTTCCCCCCACAACCATGTGGCAACACTGGAAATTGGCTATTGGCTGCTCAGGCAACCAGAACTGCATTGTAGTAGGAATAGGGGAGAGACGCACGTTCCTCTATACCCAGAAGTACTTTTTTTTCTGAAGTGGGGGTGAACAGAGGTGATGTAGCAAAGAGATGGTAAATGTATAAATGGATGGAGGGGTGGATACTGTCAACCTGTGGCTTTGTAATATATGGGCTTTTACGCTCGTCTCTGCTGCTAAACACTGTAGCATCTATAAAACCTATATAGAGGAGCAGCAGCTTTTACAAACAGTAGGCAGCATGAGTATGAGGAGGGGTGAAGCAACATTTTTAACCTAAACTGTATTAGCCTTTAGTTCCATTTTAAGCATTGTACAGAAATGGTAGAATGATTTTTTGTTCTATGAATATAATAAATGTGACTTCCTCTAATGCATATACTTCTACCTCCTCAAAACTGATGAGCAGATGAACTGACAGTGAAAGTAGCACCACAGCCAACTCAAATATAGCAATAGAAACAATTAAGTTGCAGAAGGAAGCACAGAGGCAGACAGTGGCTACAGCAGACTAAACAGATGGGACAGGCTGACATGTGCTTCGTACTGAAAGCAGCTGGATCTCAGCTTCACAGATGGACATTGTGCAACAGATTGGACAAAGAGCAACAGGAGGGTCAGGGATTAAGTGCACAGCATATGTACAGGTGGCAGCATTAGCTTCAGCACTGGACGAGACTAGAGAACGTTTTTTATACAGTACATAAAATACATACACAGTGTAATATTAATGTTGCAGAACAAGCAGATATCGGGATTTCAAAGACATGTATTTAAGCAACTAGACATATGGAGGGATAAACACATGCACATAAGGACAGATGACAACAAGATCAGGTAAGAGAGAATGGTATGATTCACATAGAGAGGAAGACCATATACAGATTCAGCTTCAGATTTGTCCACGTACAAATATCAGAATAATACAACATGGAAACTGTATGAAAACTGGGGAATCAAAAACAACCAATCAGATTGTATAGTCTTACACTGGGCATAGATGGATAGAATTTCGGACGGTTCATAAGGGTCCAGCTAAATTGCAATCCATGTATGGCCATTCCTGTCCAACAGAAGTCGATCGAGAATGTTCGAAAATGTTTCTCAATCAGCAGCTACAGCCAGTCGGCTGTGGCCACTGATCAGTGTATTCTGACAATGGAGGAGTCCTGCTGTCAGAATACATTGTCTCGGTAGGGAGGATTCCACTATCCACCTTGCTTGTGTGGATGGAAAAATTTGGTCATCTTTTATCGATCAGCCCACTGGTTGATTAAACAAAACGAGTCATCTCTGGTCAGCTTTAGAATTTGTTTTTTTTTATATTCACAAAAAAATGTAGCCGGATGTATATAGCTTTATTAATGCGTTAAAATTGACCCTTTGCGCCAAAGCCCAGATACAAGCAGCCCTGCCAGCTGAACTAAAAACATTCTCAATATGCTAAAAGGATTTGTGTACTCACATTTTATTTTGCTCCACTTCCTGTTATTCAGAGGCACTGGTGATATGGTCAGAGCCTCACAGCTGCCCCCCACCAGTGCCTTCCAGGAAGATCTTGTTTGTTAAAAATGTCTTTCCCCCCAAAATCTTGCGGTTTATAAACTGTGCCAGATCTTATACAGTGCATGCACCAAATCTGCCACGGAAGTCTTTGGTGGGCCAGCACAGAAGAGGAAGAATCCTGGCCACCATGTTTTTTTTTTCATACATATCTACATTATTTAACATGTATATGAATTACTGAAATACCAATTTTATTTTAATTAAAACAAAACTTTTAATTTCTCCTAAACAAGTTGAATTCTATTGCTGTGCAACCTGAGATGTCCTGTACACTGAAATTTATTTCAGGTTTGGTTTTTATTATGCTCTACTGGTGACAGAGGACAGAGACAAGACAGAGCAGAGAGCTGCAGTACATAAACTGGTGACAAGGAGATGGAATACAAATAGACAACACACAGAATAGAATTTAAAAGGACAGTTAAAGCAGAAAATATAGCACAGCTACAATAAAATAACTCAGGGCAGACATGCTTAAAAAAGGGTTTCATTGGCTAAATATTAAGAAAACTTAAAGTCCAGTATGTTACTTCCACTCTTCACTTCCCTTTTTATCACTGCTTTTATGGCATACAGTATCTCCACACCCATCAGTCACTAGAATCACACCCTGCTAGCACTGCCAGCACAATTGTGCATAGTAACACACTCACTGAAAGCTAAAGACCTTAGACTCCAATAAAGTAGTCACACAAAGTAAGCAGTTCAGGATAAGCAAACATGCAGCCTGTTCATTTTTGGTACATTTATTAAGATTTATTAAAAGCCAGCACTGGCATCTTTCTTACATCTTGCCATGCATCAAGGCAGAGATAGGGTAGAAAGTGATCAATCTAAGTGCTACACAGAAGCACAGTGCCATACAATGCTTTAGCATTGTGCTTAAATCTGAACTCCAGGCACATATAAAATACACAAATCAATACAGTACTGTATTAATTGATAAATCATTCAATGTATTAAAAAAATGTGTGCAAATCTGAATTTAAATCTTGCAGGCCCCTTTACAGCAGAGCTAAGACTGGAACTGGGGATAACAAAAAGCCAATCTGTTTATGTGCTGACACGTAGCATGCTTATAGAAAGAAAGAGCATAGTGACAGAGGGATGAGTGCAAACAGACTGCTGCTTCTCCTTTCACTGTCCACTCACAGCTGGGGGGGAGGGTCAGACAAGACCTGTAAGTGTTACATAAAGGCCAAGTCAATCTTTTACAAAAGTAATAAATGCACGCATTTTACAGGTAAAATAACTGCATTTATTTTTTTCCCCCCTAAGGAGCCTGCAGAGCATTGCACCCATGATAAGTGGATTGTGGATGCAATGTCAGGGTTTTGCAGACACAGCTTCTACCCATACCTCTGTACAGGCTTTCTGTGAATGACTGAGCATTGTACCCATGAGTGGATTGTGGATGCAATGTCAGGGTCCTGCAGATACAGCTTTCTGCCCATAACTCTGTACAGGCTTTCTGTGAATGACTGAGCATTGTACCCATGAGTGGATTGTGGATGCAATGTCAGGATCCTGCAGACACAGCTTTCTGCCCATACCTCTGTACATGCTTTCTGTGAATGACTGACGCAGCTGTGCAGGAGGAGCATGACACAACTGTGCTGTTTTTAAAATCTGACAGCAGGTGCAGGGAGAGCAACCCCCACCCGATGTCGCGAGGGAAGGTGGGGGGGATTGGGGGTGCGGGGAGATGTAGCTGAACATTTTACATATTACACCCTAAATATGGGTATAAAATGTTCAGAAAGATTAACTTATCCTTTATATACTCCTCCCCAACTAGACTGGTTGGACAGAAATACAAATCCTTTGGCAGGTAAAATAGCCCCCACATAATGTATTTCATTTGTATATTTAGCAGTTTGCCTGGAGCTCGGTTTAAAGGAAAAGTCAGGTCACCTGTGAGGTCATCAGCTTTTCTGTAACCCCCCCCCCCCCCCCCCCAACATGAAGAGAAAAATGTTGAAAAAAATTTTGGTCAAATAAATATGTTGGATGCTCTCACGTAAAATACTGTAGGTACAATGCCATTTGGAAATTTCAGAAACCTGTGAAAATACCATTACGTTGACTTCTGTTCACACAAACCTCTTTTGATTTAATATTTATGTTACAGTAACAGTCTATGCAAACAGTGTGCGTTCTGATGTAATGCTGAAAAAGCAAAAAAGCTCTCTTACATTAAAAGGCAAACTTTTATTTAAAGTGCTTCCAAAGTCAATTTTTAAAAAAATAACAAACATGTTATACTTACCTGCTCTGTCCCCCGATCCTCCTCTTCTCGGGTGCCAGTGCTCCTGTCCCCTCCGCCCCTTGCCGTATGCCCCATAGCAGGTCACTTGCTAAAGGGGCACTCATGCATGCTTGCTCCAAACCTGGCTCTGTGTGTCCATTGACACACACAGTGAGAGACTTGACCCCACCCCACACTCCCTCCTCACTGGCTGTGATTGACAACAGCAGGACTCCTGCAGTTTCTGAACAAATAAGGAGGGAGAGAGGCAAGAGAGCCACTGCTTTCATGTACATTGCTGGATCGAGATCGGGCTCGGATAAGTATAAAAGGGGCTGGGGGTGAACCTGCTAGCAGAAGGTTTTTTTACCTTAATGCATAAATAACCTTCTGCCTTTAGAACCACTTTAAGCATGATATCCTTTACAGTTTTTCAGTAATATTTTGAAATAAACAAAAACTGTGCAAAACAGAGTTGCAAAAAACTTAGTTTTACTACCCTAATTGAAACCATCCAAATAAAGATATATTGGTAATGAAAAAAAAATGTACACTAAGCCAGGTAGGTTACAAAACCTAAAAAAAGGTGCACAACTGAGACATCTATGAAAAAAATAAAACCCCAAAAAGTTGAAGCTTAAAGTGATACTAAGGTTGATTTTTTTTTTTTTTCTAGAACAAACATGTTATACTTGCCTGCTCTGTTCAGTGGTGTTTCACAGAGCAGTACGAATCCTCCCTCTTCTTGGGTCTTTCTTTCCTGTCAGGTGCCCCCATTGCAACAGCTTGCTCTGGGGGCATGCTAGCAGACGAACTCCTGAGCCGAGGCTTCATTCACACACAGAGTTGCAGCTCAGCCCTGCCCCCTCCCTTTCCTGATTGGATCACTGGCTGTGATTGACAGCAGTGGGAGCCAAGGAATCCCGCTGCTGCCTCAGCCAATCAGGAGTGAGATTCCCTAGAACACTGAGACTCTTGTGGACATCGCTGGATCAGAATGGGGCTCAGGTAAGTGTAAGGGTGGGATGGGGGGGCTGCTACACTCAGAAGGATTTTTACCTTCATGCAAAGAATGCATGAAGGTAAAAAACCCTGAGCCTTTACAACCACTTTAAAGAAAACTCATTAGTCATTCACGGCAAAGTGACCTGATGACCTTGCTTACCACCTGATCCACTTACTTACCATACCCATGCTCTCCGGCTGCTCTGTTCTTTTATCAGAGGTGCGAGTAAAACTGTACAAACTTACACAGTATATTGATATTGTCATTATTTCACATCACATCTGTCAGTCCTGGTGATTGGCCATTTAAGCCTAAACATTGCATCTTGGAATAACGTGACATGATCCCCAACCCAGAATCACTAGGTATTTCACAAAGACCTAGTTGTCAATCTACAAACTTCCATGTTCAGTAAAATAACAAAATTATATCAGGGCAAGCCCTTATAATAATGCAAACATCATATTAAAAATTACTCTAAGGTACAACACTCACTACACTATCCATTCACTATGCTTTCCCTCTAAAAAAAAACCAAAACAAAAAAACCCCCCTACATTTATGAACAGATTTTACATCAACCATTAAAGGTGTTGTAGCTCATTCACAGAATGTAACCTTAAAATGAGGTTTTAGAGGTGAACTAAGACATTCCAACAATATCTTTGGTAACAGAGTATGGAACAACAAGATCCAAAGAGACATATTATAGTCTATACTTACATTCTTGCTTGAAGGTGAAATACTCTGTTAAGTGTCGGCACTCGTGGTTCCCTCGCAGCAGAAACAGGGTTTTGGGGTGGATAATTTTCAGGCTCCAAAGGTAAAGGACACACTGGAAGAAGACAGAACCAACAGCAATGTTCAGAAGTAAGCTATACCGTAACTGCACATATGCAGATACTGTCCTGTATATAAGATGTACCAAAAGGTCTAAGGAAACCAATAGGATTCTTCCATTACATTATTTGAAACATAAGGACATGAGTGGCTGTTGGGGCTAACATGAACAGGTCTTCCTTTAGACCAACCTCTTCAACACAAAAGGAACCTATCAGGGCCTGGATCACCTGCTGTTGGCACTGTGATTCCCTGGGCTGAGGGCTGAAGTTCCAGTGTCCACCATCGAGTGTTTCCCAGAGCATCCTGTAATCAGTCTCCACCTGATGCTGGTTGCTGGGAGGATATTTAGATCCTTCTGTTTTAGTGCCGCCTCTTGCTCTAGGGTTTTGCTGCTGCCAGATCTTGTTGCCAGTTATCCTGACCTGGCTCCTGCCTAGTACTTTGTACCTTTTCTTCTTTGTTCCTGACCACAGTTCCACACCACTAGTTTTTCTTGCTTCTCTCTGTTCCTCATGTTGGATATATTGTATATAGTTAGTGGTTAGATTGTTTTTTTTTGTTTGTTAGATTTATTAGTCAGTCAGTTTTCTGTCATTGGGGTTTTGTTCATGTTATTTTTATGCTTGCTGATGGATTTTGTTTCACTGTAAATAAATTTCACTGTAGCCACATAGATCTGGTCATTCCTGACAGAACCCTTAGGATAACATTCCAGTCTTTATATTGATGGCCAGTAGGAAGAATGCTCCTTACACTTGTGGTCATTGGGAAGAATTACCCCCTAAAGATAACTAAAAAGATCAATAATGTCAGTGGGAACTTATCTGAGAGGCAAATATTACTCATTGCTCAAGGAACCCCTAGCTACCTCTGAAGGAACCTGAGGGTTCCATGGAATCCTTGTTGAGAAACCTTTAGACCGTAGAATAAATTAGGTCTGTGGCACACTTGACAATCTACGTTGCACTGACCTCTATACTGAAATATCCTCGGTCCACGTAGTCCCCCAAGAAGAGGTAGCGTGTGGTGTGAGGAGAACCGCCAACCTCAAACAACTTCATTAGGTCAAAAAACTGTCCATGGATATCCCCACACACTGCAAGAAGAAACAAATACAACATTTAAGGTGTGAAACAGGTTTTAGGTAGACAAAATTAAAAAAACTTTACTATACATTAGAATAGCTATATAGTACAGTGTTTGCTTTCATTCGTTTAATTCAGTGTTGGAAGCTTTTTGAAGGTTATTTAGTTTATTTCTAATGTTCTTTTTTTAGTCAAAGCCCCCTTTACGTATGCAGCCCAGTCTAAAAAATGTAAATGTTACCTATCAATGGGAAACCTCAGCCTGAAACAAGGCACGCAGCCGTCTTGATAAAATTAACTTTACATCAGAAACACCCCCCATCAAAGGATCCCCCATAACATCAGAACCTTCCCCCCTTTAGGTTAGAGGTCTTACCTTCACATCAGAAGCCCCTCATCATGTCTGTCTCCCCATAAATGAGAGCCCTCATCACATCAGAGTCACCCTCTATACAGAGGCTCCCTTTCCCAACCACATAGTCCCCTCCTTACATTAAAGTCCATCCCTTTGGCTCCAGCAGCATGGCAGAGGGCGGGAGGTGGAGGGTCTCTGGAGGAGGCAAAACTCTGTCTTCTCCTGAATGCCGGATCAGAGTAATGCATTGCCAGGGTGGAGGAAAGTTGGCTGCAATCACCATATCAGTGAATAATGCACGGCGTCCTGGCCCTAAAGTGTTGCTGGTTGTCCAGGTGCTGGCAGCCAGCCCACACCATTTAACTCATGACACTGATTATTATCATACAGGATTTATATAGTGCCAACAGTTTGCGCAGAGCTTCACAAAATTAATCAATGGCAAACTGAGTACCAAGCTCACGACACTCCGAGAGAACCCTGAAAACACCCTGGTTGAAAAACACTTATCTAGGAAATATGCACCTACAATAAATCTTTGCCAGAAAAGATGCTCTCTTGATCCAGCAGACATACAGGTGAAACTCGAAAAATTAGAATATCGTGCAAAAGTGCATTTATTTCAGTAATACAACTTAAAAGGTGAAACTAATATATGAGATAGACTCATTACATGCAAAGCAAGAGAGTTCAAGCCGTGATTTGTTATATTTGTGATGATTATGGCTTACAGCTCATGAAAACCCCAAATCCACAATCTCAGAAAATTAGAATATTACATGCAATCAATAAAACAAGGATTGTACATAGAACAAAATCGGACCTCTGAAAAGTATAATCATGCGCATATGTACTCAGTACTTGGTTTTGGGCCCCTTTTGCAGCAATTACTGCCTCAATGCGGCGTGGCATGAAAGCTATCAGCCTGTGGCACTGCTGCTGAGGTGTTATGGAAGACCAGGATGCTTCAATAGCGGCCTTCAGATCTTCTGCATTGTTCGGTCTCATGTCTCATCTTCTCTTGGCAATGCCCCATAGATTCTCTATGGGGTTCAGGTCAGGCGAGTTTGCTGGCCAATCAAGCACAGTAATCCCACGGATATTGAACCAGGTTTTGGTGCTTTTGGCAGTGTGGGCAGGTGCCAAGTCCTGCTGGAAAATGAAGTCAGCATCCCCATAAAGCTCGTCAGTGGAAGGAAGCATGAAGTGCTCCAAAATCTCCTGGTAGACGGCTGCGTTGACCCTGGACTTAATGAAGCACAGTGTACCAACACCAGCAGATGACATGGCTCCCCAAATCAACACAGACTTCACACTGGACTTCAAGCATCTTGCAGTGTGTGCCTCTCCATTCTTCCTCCATACTCTGGGTCCTTGGTTTCCAAATGAGATGCAAAAGTTGCTCTCATCAGAAAAGAGGACTTTGGACCACTGAGCAACAGACCAGGTCTGTTTTTCTTTAGCCCAGGTAAGACGCTTCTGACGTTGTTTGTTGTTTAGGAGCGGCTTGACAAGAGGAATACGACATTTGAAGCCCATGTCCAGGATCCGTCTGTGTGTGGTGGCTCTTGATGCACTGACTCCAGTCTCAGTCGACTCCTTGTGAAAGTCCCCAACACTTTTGAATGTCCTTTTCCTGACAATCCTCTCCAGGCTGCGGTCATCCCTGCTGCTTGTGCACCTTTTTCTTCCACATTTTTCCCTTCCACATAACTTTCTATTAATGTGCTTTGATACAGCACTTTGGAAACATCCAACTTCTTTTGCAATTACCTTTTGAGGCTTTCCCTCTTTATGGAGGGTGTCAATGATGGTTTTCTGCACAACTGTCAGGTCAGCAGTCTTTCCCATGATTGTGATTCCTACTGAACCAGACTGAGAGACCATTTAAAGGCTCAGAAACCCTTTGCAGGTGTTATGGCTTAATTAGCTGATTAGAGTGGGACACTTTGAGACTAGAATATTACACCTTTTCACAATATTCAAATTTTCTGAGATTGTGGATTTTTGGTTTTCATGAGCTGTAAGCCATAATCATCACAATTATGACAAATCACGGCTTGAACTATCTTGCTTTGCATGTAATGAGTCTCATATATTAGTTTCACCTTTTAAGCTGCATTACTGAAATAAATGCACTTTTGCACGATATTCTAATTTTTCGAGTTTCACCTGTATATTGCTTACAAGTTCTATCATTGTAGTATACATACCGATACAGAGATTATATGACAATAAGAAAACTATTATTGTAAAGGTATTAGTCATGATGACTATTAGTCAATGATAATGAAGCAATGGTCATAGGATGTATCAATGGTCATAAGGTGTGTTAAGTCTAGCTATCCAAGTGGCATAAAAAAATTGTATCAAGTCATTACATTGATGAGCATCAATGACTTGTCCTTGGCTGTAAAGATATTAAAACTACTCGACTGAGCATAAGGTAAATATGGATGTGGCCAACTTGCCTGTAATGGGGGCTTCCACTTCAAGCATGGTTTTCTCATGTCGCAAAATGGCTGCTCCCTCACGGATTATACGTAAAGCCGCCTCTTCCTCCAGTCTCCCCTCCTTGATCAGGTGATTCTTCAGCGTTTCCAGCTGAGGACGGCCTTCCACAAATACTTCATTCATAGTCAGCCGCCGCGTGGGCGGAAAAGGGACAGCTGCAATGAAAAAAAGTAATCATTGTCTAATAGAAGGATGGGTATTGAATAATGAAATGACAATGCAAAAGGAAGAGCACAAATACTATAAGGCAAATAGCAACCTCCATCAAGAGTGTCTACTCAGGAAATGGGAAAAAAATCAGGGCACCTGTGTCCTCTCCTTCAGTGTACTGATAAAAATGAGCTAGCAACAATAAAGTAGTAACACTTGAATGCAGCCAAGGTCCATTGCCCCTGCCACTTTCTCTTGTACTTTGGCAGCCATGGTCAATGTATGGATCATTATAACCTAATAATGGCAATCTAACTAGCACAGCCAAATAGAAAATGCCCAGGTCTTCATGTCATAGTCGGCCAACTACACGAGTCTTCCAGTCACATGTGGTAGCACTACCTGACAGTGATCCACTGCATAAATCCAAGTTAGACAAAATCAAGTAGCATTCATAAGCTAGTCAGCAGAATCTAGGGACAGTATAAACATGTCAATTTATTGAAAAAAATAAAAACAAAACAAAAAAAGCTCAAAAACAGGCAAGTGTCCAATATGAAGTTCACAGACTACCTGGCTTCAATGATCTGTTCAGATACAACTGGCCAACACTGCCCTAAAAACTGAGATACAGAGTATAAATGTCCTATAAACTGATTTATGAAGAAAAGAGAAGTCTTACAACATAAAAGATATATCCACCAGAGGTCAAGAGAAGGTGCATGTTTATTCCAGTTAGACAAGATGTTGTGTTGGAGAGTTCTCAAATTAAATAGGGCGAATGGTACAGCACTGAAGGAGGCTACCATGAGGCCTAGTACTCTCAAGAATCCTCAGACTGTGGGATTCTCTTTGGTCTCAAATCTTGAGGATGGGCTCTGAGTAAAAGGATTTTCTTTTCTGAAAGAAAAACCTTTGTTTGGGATGTGTCCAGGACTATACCCGAGTATTCCAGAAGAAGAGAAGGCTGGAAAGCAGATTTTTGGAAGATGATCACTAAACCGAAGGCCTGGAGCATCTGAATTGTCTTGTGGATTTTTGCAGACAGCTGTCAGGGACGGGAGTCCTTCAGGAAAAGGTCGTCCACATAACTTGTGACCTGGATGTCCTGAGTTCCAAGAAGCGTAAGAACAAATGCTAGGACCTTTTTGAATACTCTTGGATCAGAGACTGAAGAGCAATGCGAAAAACTAGATGTCAGGGCTCTGTCCTCGGCAGAGGTGTTAGGAGACCTGGCACCCCTGCCAGTACCTTGCATGACCACAGAAGTTCATATCGGATCAAATTTGGCTCCAAACGGCCTTTATAAGGAAGCCCTGCACTACTCTCAGGTGCTGGTTGATCTCTGGCTTCCCAGTACCTTGTTCCTGTGCAATTGTGATCTGTGATTTCCTGATACCGACTCGGCTTGCTCTTGGACCTGTCTTCTCTGCTTAAATCCTGATCTAACCTCGGCTTGGCTAACAGATATTCCCTCTTGCTCCTCTGTGTATGACCTCGGCTATCCCATCTGACCACGTCTGCTTTGATTTCCACCTGGTACCTGACCTCGGCTTTGAACTGGCCATCCTGTGATCCTCTGTTTCCCGGAAGGCTTGCATACCTCGCACAGGCACCACCTGTCTGCAGATCTCATCTCAGTGCATCAGCTGTGCTCCTGGGTGGACCACCAACGAGCACCCCTACAGGCGACCTGTGCCACTTTGGGCCTGACTCCTGCTTTCCCACTCTCAGGGGAGTCTGGAACTTAGCTGCAAGGGAAGCCCTCTCTCCATTGGCCTCTAACACCAGGTACGTGATACTAGAAATAGCGGTTTGCCACTGCAAAGTGCAGAAAGCGCTGATGAGGTGCATAAATGGGAATATGCAGAAAGGGATTTGTAATGTGAAGAATTGAAGGATTTTAAGTCCAGAATAGGGCGAAACCACCCATCAGCTTCAGCGGACTAGGCTTTGAACCAGAAGATTGAGTGCGTGTGAATGGAGATTACAGCCATTCTGAAAATTTGTCTCTTGACATGTTCTAGAGCAGGGGTGTCCAACCTGCTTTTTTATTTTTAAAATGCGTTTACATTTAGCGAACGCATGCTGCTGAAGAAAGGTCTCTAACAGTCTCTTTACTGGACTTTTATAAGTTTTATTTTCCCAAATTAAAATATCCCATTCTTTCACAACCACTCCTCACCACTCCTCCTTCAAGTCATGAGGTTTCAGCAGCACCTATATTTGTGAACGACTAATTACAAGGATGAAACACATGAAGGGCAAAATTAGAACCAAAATATCAGATAAGCTCCTTAAGAATTCATTGAGAATTGCTACTACATCCATCAAACCAGATAGTGTTGAGTTAGTTTATCAAAAACTGTGCCAAAATATCACACTAGTTTTATGTTACACTCTTACTTTTAGAATAAAAAAATTTTACAAAAAAAATTAAGTTTTTTTACTCAGATATGTACATTATCTATATCAATGATTGTTAACTTGTGATCTGTCCAACGTTTTCTGCTCATTGTCTATCCTTATTGTTAATGTGTTATGTGTGGCACAAGGCAATTCCTCTTCTTCCAATGTGGTCCAGAAAAGTCAAAAGGTTGGACACCCCTGTTCTAGGGCGGGGGTCAGCAACCTGTAGATTATGGTCTACCAATAGATCATGGCCAGATGACTGGTATACCGTGATCTGGGCTTGCTAACACCCACCATCCCAGAGCATCAAACAGAGTGCCATGCAGAGGGACTACTTGTAAAGTTGGAGCTGTAGTAGGGAGCAAGAGCTGCATAAGCTGATGCCTCCTCTGTAGTGCTGGCTCCTGTCAAATGCAGAGTGATAGCAAGTGCACTCCACCTCCTATCCCGACTAGTGGTCTCCAGAGTGGTGCCAGCAGCGGGAAAGAGAAGATCTTCAGGTCAGTGTGAAGCAGTGCACTGGGCATATTGGTTTAGGGTTGATTTATATAGCGCCAACAGTTTACACAGAGTTTTACAATATAAGGGGGACAGTACAATTACAATACAGAAGGAATTGGAGGGCTCTGCTCAAGGAGCTTACAATCTAGAGGGAGGGGGAGGTGGTACAAAAGGTAATAGCTGCAGGGGATGATCTGATGGAGGTGACAAGTACAGTTCTTAGGTGGAGGTGGGGTAGGCTTCCCTGAATAAATGACTTTTCAAGGATTGTCTAAAGGTGGACAGGGTAGGAGCTAACCGGACATACTGGGGGAGGGAGTTCCAGAGGATTGGAGAGGCTCTGGAGAAGTCCTGGAGGTGAGAGTGGGAGGAGGTGACAAGGGAACTAAGGAGCAGGAAGTCTTGGGAGGAGCGGAGAGGACAGTTTGGGTGATATCTGCAGATGAGGTTGGTGATTTAGCTGGGGGCGATGTTGTGGATGGCCTTGTATGTTGTGGTTAGTATGCTAAATGTTATAGTTAGGATGTGTTTTATCACACTCACACTACAGTGGCCAGGGGTGTACACATGCCACAGCAGGAGTTATATGCTCTGTCATGGTTGGTTGGTGTAGCACCTGTCAAATATCATCTATTCAAGTGAATGTGGCCACTTTGCAAGTGCCCTGCACCCTTGTGCATCACATAAAACATAGGGTTAAAGCAGGCAGTGTTGTGTTGCCTTCCAACCACTTGCTTTAGCCCCTTGGACCCCGCAGAAGAATGCATTCGCCAGGTACTTGCAGAGTGGCTGGGCCCGAATTACTTGAATGAATCGCGATTGGCAGGTGGTAGCACCCACCAAAAGCAACATGGGCACCCCAGCAGCTAAAGGGGGTAGGGATTGGAGGGCAAAACTGTGGCTCAACCACAAGGTCTTGCCACCCCCATCTTTACATGTGAACAAGCCCTAAGGGCTGCCGAATGCAACTAAGGGTTCATTCACAAGTGCAGCAGGCAATGCTGCTCCTCTGAAAAGTGATGAGTGTGTTTGACAAGTGGTGAGGAGGCAATATGTTGCCTCCTCATCACTTAATTCAACCCATGATTGACATGCAATGCAAGCAATTGCAACACGGTAGTACGGCAATTAGAGGTTAAAATCAGGTGTGAGGAGGCGACACTGTGCCCGGTGATCTTTGAATTCTCCCATGCTGTTCAAATAGATCTCCACCTCTTTAAGGTTGCCTACCCCTGTTCTAGGGCATCTACAAAAACAAGCACAGTTGAAGGTAATAGTTCTGGAATTCCAGTCCTGGAATACAGGATCCTCTTGGGTGTTCATTGCCCTAGCTGCCGTCTGATATATTGAAACTGAATCAAGAGCTGCTTGCAGGGCTGGGCCTGCCAGAATAAAGGGGGCCTTCAGAAGTGTCTCAAACTTTCTGTCTGCAGAACCTTTGAATGAAGGAGCATCTTCATTGCAAGCACCCTAAGACTGGAGGTGTGTTACTGGCTGGATCACCGGACATTGCGTCCTATACACTGATATAAAAAGAGAAAATTCTGATTTTAAAGATGACCAGAGACTGCGGACATAGTGCACTGGGATATGACCAGAGACTGCGGACATAGTGCAGGGGATGACCAGAGACTGCGGACACAGTGCAGGGGATGACCAGAGACTGCGGACACAGTGCAGGGGATGACCAGAGACTGCGGACACAGTGCAGGGGATGACCAGAGACTGCGGACACAGTGCAGGGGATGACCAGAGACTGCGGACACAGTGCAGGGGATGACCAGAGACTGCGGACACAGTGCAGGGGATGACCAGAGACTGCGGACACAGTGCAGGGGATGACCAGAGACTGCGGACACAGTGCAGGGGATGACCAGAGACTGCGGACACAGTGCAGGGGATGACCAGAGACTGCGGACACAGTGCAGGGGATGACCAGAGACTGCGGACACAGTGCAGGGGATGACCAGAGACTGCGGACACAGTGCAGGGGATGACCAGAGACTGCGGACACAGTGCAGGGGATGACCAGAGACTGCGGACACAGTGCAGGGGATGACCAGAGACTGCGGACACAGTGCAGGGGATGACCAG